AGCCTTAGCTCAATTCTTACTGCCTTTATTCAATCATATCCTATCATTAGAAGACAAAATTAGCTTATACCTTGGTGAACTGATTGAGTACAATATCTCGATATCATCACTAGGTAATAACTTTAAATAGTAATGACTCATGACACTGGACAAGGCGCTATCAACTACTATGGGACTGAAGATGACCCTCTCATGGAGTACCTTAAAAAAGGTTACATGTATTCGGATTCCCTGACAACATTCCAACTAAAGTAAGGTTCCATGAATTCTTGAATTTCGTATCCCCAAATATCTGATTGGATTTCAGAATCCCATAAATCAATATTTGATCCAACTTCGCTGCATGTGGATCCACAAATCAAATCCTTGAGCCTTCTTGACATTGTTGTAGCTCCAACTCCCATTCTTGACTTCCCAACCTAAAAAATATAAGCCAAAATCGAATATATATTAGACAGGCAGATGCGGAGAGAGAAAAGTTATATAATTAAATTAAGGTCTAATGACCTTGTCATGGAGAATTTGGATGGTGGAATTTCCATGTACGGAAAAATTTGCATTGGCAACTTCAATACCATCTTCTTGAAGCAAGTGAAGTATGCTGTAAAATTTTGATAAATCGTCTAGTCCACTAACTAAAATAACATCCATATTTGGTCCCATATCATGAACTTCAACAAATGGTGTTGAAGACTTTGTGGGGGCTTGAATTTCACTTGTAACACAAGAATTGGATCTTTTTCTTGGCAAGAACTCCTTCTTCTGCTTCATCTTCTCCACATTAATCTTTAAGTTCTCGATGTATGCCACAACTTCATCTACTTGATCGGGTAAGTGCATCGCCTTCTGCATTTACACATACATCCATATGTTAAGTGGATGTTTGTTATATTAAGATTTGAGGTTTCATCTTATTCAATGTTGGATTTAACCTTGAGATGTCATGTTACACAAATAAGTTAACGTTTATTGATGAATTGGTACGATATGGTATTTGAGCAAGGCAAACCTTTCAAAAAACCTAATTCAATCACATAATAACCTTTTTAGACAAAGTGGTTCGACATTAGACGTAGCTTAATTGAATGCAAAAATTGTTTAACTCTAACCAGGTGTGTGAGAGAGAAAGATGAAAGAGGTACCTTGGAGCCATGATCCGGGAGGAGGGAGAGGAGGTCAGAGAAGAGATCCTTCATCCGATTTCTTCTGTTTTTCTCAACAATTTTTCTTTCAATTTTTGGGGTCCGAGTTGAAGCAGAAGTTGATCTGGACTTACACTTTTCCATTTTCTTCATTTAAACACTCAAATTAAGGTAGAAAGCTCTTAAGAATTAACAATACTGATCTTTGTTTGGATCTATATATATAGTAATGGAAAGCAGGGAGCTGCCCGGCTTTCTATGGGAGAGGACGAATTTTCTTGGTGGGTGCGTGGGGTGGGGTGGGGTGGGGTAACCAATTAATTATGAATACGTCATCTGTGTGCCTCGGCGGTCAATGTTCATACAGTTCATTCTTCACTCTCAGGATATTCATGTGAGAGTTTCACTTCTTGCCTCTTGGGACGAACTAGACGGGAAGGTGAGCAAATTGGGATTACGAAAAATAGAAAATAACCAAAAATACTACTTTCACTCGAAGATCATCTATTCAAAACATCATGTTTCTCAATAATAACCATCAAACAGGATCTTATTAAGAGAATTTTATGTATATTGGAGATGATCTTTAAATTTAAAAAGTAAACATTTATAAGCTCTAATAATACTCTCTATTTTTCATATAACTTTTTTCAATAAATATTTTTGATTTCTTCTCAAGATATATTTAACAAATTTTTATATGTAAATGATCAATCAATTGAAATATGTAGGTTATCATTGTCTTTTTTTTTTTTTTCTCCTCTTTATGAACCATGACTTTTCTAAAGGTTGAAACCCAACTTTGAGAGTTACCACCATCCCGCCCCTAGAATTTTGTGAGGGAGATAAATCGTTGGATGTGCCCCAACAGGTCAGGGAACAAGAGCTATCTGTATACTGCGCTTACAAGGAGTCCAATTTCATATCTCAAGAATCGAACCAGCACACTGTGACTGTCAGCAAGGCATGAGATAACCTCACTCTTATTTTTTACACCACTGAACTATGCTCGGGGGCAAATAATGACATTTCTTTTTTCATCACTGAGTATCTTTTATTTTTCCTTTTCTGTCTTCTGTGGAAAGATGGGATGAGACAAAATGATTTACTTGTCTAGTCAATCAATGAGACATATAAGTCGAATACATGCATGTTACAATCAGATAGGATTAGATATAAACAGTGCCGTTGTTTCCAGGCAAATACACAGAACAAACGTACAAATGCTGGTGGTTGTGGGTTTTTAGCAATAAAGTTTCAGTCATTTAGTATGGAACGAATCTTCAAATTTCTGTGGAGACTTTGGAAGACTTTTTCGCCGTTTCATACAATGGTCCCGTTGAATACATGTCGAGTAACATCAGGTTTTCTCTAAATTCCAACGGACAAATTGCCGTTGAACTTAAGGACAGTGGTAGAGGGATGCTTATTTCACCACTTTTTTTATTAGATCCTGCAGCACTTTATCATATAATATGTTGATTTCAATGGCCAATAGATATGATGGATATAACAGTGAATTATCACATCAATCACTTACTAAGAATTGCATAAAAGATTTTCAACTAGTCCCCCTTGTTGCCTCTCCTGTCACGAGGCTTTGGTTCTTCATATAAGGTCGACTCAGTTAAACAGGTTCAATGTCCCATATAGGTTCGACCTCTTCACGTGGTTTGACCAACTGGCTCCTGGCAGAATAAATGGAGTGTGGGCTTAGGTTCATCTACATGTAGGATCCTTTGAAACCTCATCAGACAAGGTGTAATACAATACTTATCTTGTTAATAGCAAATGAACCTACGTATAAGTTTTGCAAAGTCACATAGGGGTGGTAGGTAGTTGAATTCTAAGTCGTCCCTAATATTTGGAGGACTTAAATCAACTACGACTCTACAAATATTTTAAAAAATAAAACATAATAATTTTTGTTTAATAGTATTCAAATTTATAAAAACGATAATATAAAACTTTCAAATATCTAAATTAAATTCAATCTTCTAGAATTTTTTGATAGAAAATCAACAATTATACTATTACAATTAATTTGTTTTAGAATTTCTTTTTAACCAGCTTTCTAATGAATTGAATGGAGGATTTTATCAATTTCAACTTTGAGAAGCTACTCTTGACAAAGGTAACTATAATTTGTATAGTCAATAACATTTTATAAACAATTCACATATTTGGAAAATAACAACCCGTTATTTTTATATAGTCTAACATTTTGATAGCCTTTTTAAAACTCTTATGGCAAATAATTTCTCATAATTTGCAGCTCTAAATAACTCTTACCATCAATAATATCATAATCCATGTCGTGCTTACAAAAATTTTCAAGCTTATCACAAAACACATCAAACAATTATCATTTGGATTTTGCATTTTTTTTTTTAAATCAAACAGATACCTAAAAATATTTTTCATAATTTTAAAATTGTTCAAATCGTAAGTGAAGAAAGAACTTGATCAACTATATATTGAAAAAGTTAGATCTAAAATATTTTTCAGATAAATTTATCAAATAACTATATCAAACAAGAACTTAAAATTCATAACGTCGGAACAAAAACTTTTAACATCTCTATATGTCTTAGGGTCAACTCATATTTCCACTATTTATGTGACTTTTATTTCGATGATTGAAATTTTATTTCTTTAATGATTTTAACTTACTTTCCCAATTTTCCGTATCACAGTGTGCAAGATTAAGACCATGATAACCACATATTCTGTACAATGTCCTTGAATTTACTTATAGTAGTACTCTTTTCGCTTTCTTTTCGTATTAGACGGACATAGATGTAACAATTGAAAAATCTAATCAATTTTATACTTTCATATAAAAATTGAAAAACAAGAAAAAAAATTAAAAAATGTATACAAAAGAACACAAAAATTAAAGCAAAAAATCATATATGATATCAGTTTTATTGTCAAAGACTGCAAACATAAGTTAGAGAATTTGCAAAGGATTGAATGTGGCGAAAAATAGTTATACTTAATTATTTTAATCATAATTTTCTAATAAGAATCTCGACAAAAAAATTGATCCCAGGGAGGTGAACTTCGACTATGTGACAACTTTTTGCTATTTCTAAAATCACATAGCTCATTTACTTCTTGTAACATATACAACTTCACATGCAGAGCTCATATTAATGTGATTAATTTTTTTATATGTAAAATTTTGACTAAGCATGTTTTAAAATGAAGAACTTTTACTATTAATTAAAGATAAAGATAAGTAAGAATTACTTTTATAATAAATAATTTTTATTAATAAAATTTAAAAGTGGGTTAACTATTTTGATAGTAATGTGAGAATTACTTTGTTTAAAACATAATTTATTACGTAAAAGTAATAGAAAAATTAGTTACCAAATCATATTTAAATAACAAAGTTATTTTTCAAAAAATACTATTCCATCAATTTTCATTTTTACAAAATGGGGCCAAACGGGGGCAGAATATTGAGAATTTAGACTTATTGGTTCACATATAATATTAAAAATTGAACACTATTAAAAAGACTTCATTTCTCTTATTCAATAAATCCTCTTCTAGGACGGCCATTTGTCTTATTTATGTAGTTGAGAATGTAACCTTGATCTTCCAACATTAAGCATAATAAAATAAAAATAAGTTTAAAGCAATTGATATCAATAAAAAAAAGTTTACTCATTGATAAATTTACTGTAACCATAAAATTTCAAGGAACCATACTATTTGTACAACTGGAATTAACAACCCCTTACATGGTCGTGGACTCCCTTTCTTGTCAGAGGGTTGTCAACTCCGATTTTACAAATAGTAGAATTCAATTTCAAGAGGGTACATCACACGGCGTATATGTTTGAAAAATGAATTTATAACCTTTTGGTCACAATCAAATAAGCGTTCGTAATTCAACAGGCTATTCACATTTGATTGCCTTAACAAGATAAACCCAAATAGTCTAATCATCCTTTTCTTAGGAACGTGATTGAAAGATACAAGACAACCTCAATTTTCCTGCTCCAACATGCCACACAAAATTTGGCTTTCCTTTCTCTTTACACCGTGACTTTTCCTGTTTTCATCACTGTGAGTATCTTTTCTTTTTCCCCTATTTATCAAGAGGGGATGAGGCACAATGACTTGCTTGATCGTCTAGTCAATTTACTAGACGTACGTTGTAAGTCGAGGTAGCTGTCCAATAATTTCACGTTGCGTCAATGCAGATAGGAGTAGATATGACCTGAGATGTTTCCAGGCAAAGACTCAGAAAAAAGAAAAAAGAAAATTCTGTTTTTTGTGGGGTTTTTAGCAACAAATTTTGAGTAATCCAAGTGTGGAACGAAAGTTTAGAGTCAGCAAAGACTTTTTCGCCATTTCATACAATTAATCCAATTCATTGACTTGGTGTTCTCTAAGCACCGTTTGACGATCATTATTTAAACACTCTTTTTTCTACATATTCATTTTTAACTACACATTTATATAATAAAATATTCTGCACGTAAATCAAAATTTTTTTCCTAGTTCTTATCAATACGTTCTCTTGAAAATCAGTATTTAAAACATTGTTTTGACCAAATGATAGCCATCAAACAAGGGCTAAATTACGATATAAAAATTCTCTTTGAGCTAAAGACACAAATGGTAGAGGGATGTTAATTTTACCTATCTTTTTACTAGGCTACGCTGAATTTAATTATACGATTTGCAAATCAACCTTGGTCTAAGGTTTACGAAGTCACATAGGGGTTGTAGTAGTCGAACCTAATTATATATATAGGAGAATATATGAACAAAAAATGGGTAACCATATATAAAAGTATTTTATTGGGGGAATATATAGTTGAAAATGAGTTTAAAAAATATAAACAAAATAGGGGATAGACACAAATTTAGAGGCGTGAAATCACTGTTGTAACCTTTATTATTTATATTTAAAATCTGAGAAAAAGTAACTTTTATTTGAAGATGGACCGCTATGTATGATGTTTCTTTTTCTTTTTTACTTTTATGCATCCCTAATTTGATTTTGCATAATCTCTTACTTGAAATTGGGATGGATAGGGTTTAAGTCTTGACAACTTAATTATATGTTTGAGAACGCTTTCTAAAGTCCAGAAGCACATTTTATCCTAAGTAATTGATGATCTCCAGTCCACCGTGGACAAGAGAACAATTCTGTTCCTTTCCTTCCTTTCAAACAATCTCCTATTTTAGCTTAGTCACAACATTTTTACCGTTTATTATTGTTGAAAATTGGGGTTAAGGTTAAAAGGAGAGATTTTAAATTTGTTAGTTGAAAGAGAGGTTCTTTATTCTAAAATCGTGTCTTCTTATAAAGATCTACAATTTTACGATATAACCATTGGTAGTCTATTTACAAGGTTTAGCATGCTAATGTCGAATCTGGAGTGGGCAATACGAAAGAAATAACTAATTATATAATATTGTTTAAGTTATTTGACGAATATGTCACAAAAATATTAATGATCTTTAGCCCTAGTTTGACAACCATTTTTTCTTATTTTTCTCTCTTTTTTATACTCATTTTTAACTACGCATGCCTACAATAAAATATTTTTCACGTAAAACTAAAGGTTTTGCAGTTCTTGGGAGGAGGGAGATAGTTATGGCCCGGAAAGTAAATGCAAGGACTTTGCATTTCTTGGAAGTCTTCAAAAACTGGTACAAGCATTCAAACGGACGGTGCGAGCAAGTGCAAACGACTTTAATGTTGACATTTAGAAACTTAGAAAGACTTGGAAGAAGTCTTGCCTACTTTATTCCCGAGCACATATGTCCCGAGCATTTTGATACACATACCGACGAAATTGAGTCATCGGGTATGTGTATACGTCGGGAACAAACTTGGTTATATCACATAGTATTATCACAAATTATGTCACAAGATAATTTTCGAAAAGAATTTTCAATATTAATGGAAGTTGTACATTGCGAAGGAAGCTTGTGAATTAAAAAGTTTGGAACGAGTTTCGAGGTGGACAGGAGCTCCGACGTCGAGTGAAAGGCTCCACTTGACCATGGGCTACCTTTGACACCAGCTGCGACATGGCAACTTTGGGAAGATAGATGAGTCCGGCTACCAATGTGTTCGCTCCCCACTATGATCGAGCTTAGATAAGAGTTCGGTCCATCACTATGACTAAACTCACCCGATGAGTTCTAATCGACAACTTAAGAAAGTAATTAACTCTAATCAAGCAGCAATCACTTCGGAATAGAGGATTTGTCTCCCAACCTTCCAATCATTACAATCATATGACCTAGGCAATCATTGTGTCATTGTCGTCGTCTTGATTTACCAATTACAGGCCATCAATTAGACAAGTGACACATGAATCAAGTCAATCATTGCAACTAAAAATGATCAAACTTTCGTTTACACCTATATAAATTTATACATGCCATTTAGCTCGGACAAAATGTAAGTCCGATCTTACAACTTTCTTAGCTTTTGTGATTTCTTGCGAGTTAGATTAAGAGGTAACATGTCACTTTTTGAATCTAACAGTTTAGTGCCGGAAGAAGGGGCTCATGGTAAAGCAATATGAGACAAATCTGGTCAAAAGAAAAATGTTATTTCCACAAAGCCACGAGCCCCCTTTTTCGTCAAAACGGGCCAAAGTGATTGAGGAGCCACAACGATTCTAGGACAAGAACAAGAAATGGGGATGTCATAGCTTCCTAAGGCATTATGCTGGAGAAACTTCAACGGGAAATGCGATCAAACGGCCGCATGGAGGCAGTCGAAATCCAACTAATGTCGTATATCGGATTGAGCAGAACTAAACTAGCACCGTTCGTGCTGCTGAAATGGAGGAGGAAATCCCCCAAATTGAGGACCCATCTTGCCACCTCATGCCTCATCAACAGCCCATGGAGATCAGCATAAGCTGGAACGACCGAAAATATGCATTGCCGGCGTGGAGACTAGGCAAAAAGAGGGTGAAGTAGGAATATGTCACAAATAGGCACTTCCCCATTTCAGAGGACATCCTGTCCGAACCGCTACCGAAGAAGCTCCAAATGCCCCAGCTAATAGGATACGAAGGCGATAGTGATCCAGTTGGTCACATGGACAAGTATAAAACAGACAAGACCAAACTGACAGTATTAAATTCTTGCCAAATCCTTCGAAAAATCTCAAATACTATTCAAGACAAAAAATTAAGAATATCAGCAGTTTAAAAAGTAGCAGATGGATTATCCATGAACCAAATAAGACATAGATGTGGGATGATTTAAAAAGTGTGCACTGTTTTCAGTCGAGCCAGGAATCTGGTCCATACCATATGCAGTATAATTTAACTAAGAAAATATTCGAATAAATGTCAAAAACTAAATGAGCCTTTGCCTTTTAAGTAAACTAGTCCACAGTTGCAGCAAATTCAAATCCTAAAACTTTCCGAAATGCGACCTTGTTATAAATTACAGCAAATCCAAATACAAAAGCTTTTAATGAGATTTTGTTATGTTAATTCTGTAACAGAAACTAGTCTATTCAATCAAATAGTTTTATGAGAGTACTAAATTACCTTCTCTTACTTGTTTCATCTAAAAAAACCGTGGCATTATATTGACTCTCATTCCCCGAAATCAAATCAATATGTGCAGGTTTCCCTTCTAAGAAAAATGGTCATGTATTCTTGAACATGACTGCTACAATTTAAAAAAAAAGTCTTTCACATGGGTTGTACCCATTTCACTTGCCTATACTACATACTTCGCTACTTTAAATCTACAGATTGTACAGTAAGATACAAATTGGGAGAATTTTTACCTAACTTTAAATTTCCTAAAAATCCAGCTTATTTTCATTCAACTGCTATAAGATCAACAATTCCATAAACTTTCTTGCCCTATAACTTCAGTTCAAAACACAATAAGTACTCTTCTTGTATCCTTATCAAGAAAGCTTCTTTAGAGCATCACAAAGACCAAAAGATGCATTTATTAAGGCACAAGGTGACACTCGCACTCCTAATTTACTTCTCAAATCAAGAGAGAGTATAGCTTTGCCATTGTACTTTAAAGAACATAAATGTCATCCCAGATAATCACAACAGTGCAATGTCTAAAGCAGCCCTGAAACAATGACTTAGCTTTACAGCCACTTAAAAATTACATAATTTAGCACTTCAAGTTCAGTTATGCAACTTTTAAGCTTATATTTTATCATCGTTAGACCATATTCAATAATAGACATTTTAACTTCTCTTTTATTTACCCCGTAGAGTATTGTCCGAGAACCTTACTAAACACGCTTTAAAAGGAGTTCTTTGTGATGAAAAAAGATCACAAGTACCTAAGAACCCAAAGACTGGTCTTGCCTTCAAACTATGGCTAAAAGTCACGAATGAGGCTTTTACTTTACCTTTGCTTGTGGAGAGAAAGGAACAATCGTTGCTTCGAAGACCAAACAAAAACAAGAGAGCAGACAAGAGAAACATTTTACTTTACCTTATATTCTTGGTTTAATGCTGTGGCTAGAAATCCTGTAAATGGGTTGCCTAATTTCATGTTGTTCCTTAATGGCTTAAAGTGGTTGTACACCCTCCGTGTATTCTCTTTTAAGTAATAAAACTATCTGATTACCTATCAAAAAAAAGTCACGAATGAGGCTTGAGGAATAGCAAACAAAATATGCTCTATATATATACAAAATAAAAGAAACACATTATAATTAAGCACTTTTAATAGCCCCCCGTCATTAAAATAACTTCATCAATATACATAAAATATCGTAGATTGAAGGAAAATTATGAAAATCAACGCCACTAAGCCTTTTTCATGCTAGAAAACATAGATATAGTAAGACTTCAGAACCCAAATTTAAAAGGAGGAAACAACCCCTGGACACTATAAGCAGGATAAAATTATTGCTGCCAATGAAAACAGCAAAGTTTCAAATCAGGTCTAAGCAACGCGTATGAGAAACTAGAATCGACATAAGTAGCAACAGATCTATTGCAGTCCATTTCTCAACCAAAGATTTTGCAGACCCTAATCATGTAATCACCACAACTATTTAAAGCATTCACACTTAAGAAGCTGTCATATTACCTGAACAGACACCTGTATATAACTCGGTCCATCATTCAGCATAAAAAGTGATAAAGGTTAGCCAAGTTCACTTAAATTATAGGAGCACATATTAGTAAAGTGGAGAAGTCACAGACCTATAGCAGTACATTTGTCAACAAAAAATATATCAGTCAGCAATAAGGCAATCCCCACACCCATTTAAGTAGATGATGTGTACAGACCTACTTTCAAGGAGTAAGTAATAAACCAATGATTCTGTCTGTCTGTAAAATGCAATATTATGCAACTCTCATCACTGAAAGCAAGTAGCATGCAATAATTGGCAGTTCTGGGAGATGAATAGGCTACCATCTGAATTAAGGTTAAACATAAAGCAACTCCAACAGACAAGAATAGAGGATCCGTGATACTAAGAGAACCCTTGAAATCACAAGGAGACAATTTACCAGGAAAAAGAATGCATATAATAGATTAATAACAATGTGAATACCAACATTCATTGCAAAATAATTGATGTTATATGAATTTACAAGAATCTCTCTCTGCGTGTAGAAATTTTACAAGAAGACAGTCTGCCTCGGCTAGAAACATGTCAGCATCAACAAAATGTAGTTTTTGAGCTTTAATAAAACTGCTCGATTTGGAAAATAGAATATCTTTCTGTGTGTAGAATTTCTACATGAAGACATTCTGTCTCGGCAAGAGACATGTCAACATATTTTGATGAGCCAAAAGGCAGTTTTAGAGCTTTAACAACACCGCTCCTTGTTGACGCCTACACATTGCCATAGTCAAAAACATGCAAATCCAACAAAACATTGTAATGTCCCTTTTCTATCTCGTCTTCCTTTACATTATGAAGGAGAAGAGTTTCAATGATGAGATCTTCCCAGTCAATATCCACTTGCTTTTTCCCAGATTTTATATGTTTCGAGGCACAAATATCATTCCCATCACCAGCATCGGGTACAAGTGGATGCATAATCTTCTGAATTCGCAGCTTAGAAGCTTTTATCTTTTCTCGCCTCCTTGCATAAACTAAGCATCCCCTATCAAAAGATGGTGGTGAAGCATCCAATCCTACATCTTTCTCAAACACTTGTTTCAACAAAAGCTTTTTACTCAAATCTGATTTGCCCTTCCACCAGTCTGTACATGCATGAAGGTCAAAACTTCCCGCTCTCTTCCTTTTCTTATCGTTGGACCTTTCTGATGTGGCCTTAAGTAGAGGAACCTCATCCAAGAACTTGGAATAAATCATGGCCAAACATTCTGTGGAAATCTGAAATTTCTCCGGATGTTCAATTCTCATAGGTGACTGATGATTTGCCCCAAAATACTGCGCGGCGCAATTTTCTGTTGTATGACTATCAACTCCATATTCAGTTTCTTTGCTCAAACAGCCAACAACCACTTCCATCATATCAAATCCAACGTGCTCAAACCTCTTCCCCTTCTGACCGAATTGGCTCATCGACTTCATTTCCATGTACTGAATCACATTTGGTGCATTCTTCACAATATTCTTCACTGTAACATCTTCGCCCCATGGCAAAGCTTGTGCAACTTTAACAAGCCTCACCAGAAGCTCCTTGTACCTACGCATACACGTAACAACTGATACGTGCAACTCCTTTGCGACAACTTCGATCTTCAGATCTAATTGATTCAGTTCCCCGATAAAAACCAGAACTGCAGCCACCACCGCCATTGGCCTCCGTCCTGTGGTCAAGAACCACTTGATCAAACATTGCATTAAAAATACCCCTTGCTTCAGCATCCTCTGAACCACATCCTCTGAAATCCTATTAAACATCGGATATTTCCTAATAACGTGTTCAAGTGAATTCACAATATCAAACTCTGGCAATTTCAAATCAAGAAAATCCACAACTCGGTTAATCATCCGACCCAATTCATAAACATCACACCCCACCAAATCTGTCACTTCTTCAATTGGCAAGATCTTCTTATCCTTCCTCATCACAACATAAGCACACGCACCTATGAGAACCGGGAACCAATTCCCTTGACCATATTCACCTTCCGTAACCGTCTCAACCATAACCTTAACCTCATCAGATTTTGAACGCGAAAGTCCTAATTTAAACATAAAATCCCCAATCAATTTTTGGGCCTCGTAAATTTTATTTTCTTTATAATTGTATGTACTACCAGTGCCAGCAGTTCCCACACGAACATAGGTGCCAGCAGGGCCGGTAATGCCACCAATATGAGCTTGAAAATTGTCAAAATCTTGAACTACGCCACATGATGTGCAGACCATATTGCCTGTTACATCATCCGGGACGAGAGTTCTCTGCCTGCATCTCTTGCAGGGACGAGAAGTATCCATATATGAAGCAAAATTTACATAAACTGTTTATGGGCACAGGTAAGATGGCTTCTACTGCAAAAAATAAAAATAAAAAAATATGAATAACAATAATAAATTTGTAGAGACAGAAGAATGGTGCACTTGTTTTTGTAAATCTTGCTGCCGGCTGGAGGACGAAGATAGAATCAGGTTTGGCCTTTGGAGAAGAACCACTGCAATTGCGATTTTCTCGGATGATTTAATGGACAACTGGGCTAGGTCATTGGTTTTATCATCGTTGTCAGACCCAACCCTGCGACTAGGACAATGGAGTGGGTCAACGGGTAAGTGGTCGAACCGGTAACTAAATGGTTCAAGTGGCAGGTCAATTGCGATCAAAAATATTATTAACTATTTTCATTGAATAATTTTTTTCTCATTTTATACTAAAAACTAAATTGACCTCATCTTATTTTGTTAACTAAATATCAATTTGTATCCCAATTTCACAAATTTTAGATCATATATAGTGAAATATGTATTTGAAACAATTGGAAACTTTAAGAATTTGCAACACCAAATAATTCAACCAAATGTTAAAACTTCTTAATAATTATTTTTAATACAAGGTAGATATTGTTAAATCGACATTAGGTATTAAATCGACAAAAAAGCCAATCAAATTTGGTTAAGCAGAATTGCGTATGCAAATTGTTGGACTTAAAAACTTGGTCTATACATAAATGAAAGCACACTGCAAAAGGATGTGGTGATTCAATTGACCAATAAAACTAATTGTGCACTAAAATTGGAAGGAAAAACGTATTTGAAACAAACATGAAATTAAAGAGAAATATGAGTTTAGGTAGATATTGATTTTGGATTCTGGGGGAGGGAAAGAACCTTAACCAACTGGAAATCAAAACCCATATATCTATCGAGAAAGCCAGCAACTTTGGTGTCAAAGAAACATCATTTTCTTGGTATATAACGAGTTCAGTACACAAAAATTCACAAAAATAAAACTTAAATTTCAGACTTACGTGTTCTACTTCCGTCTAACACAACTTAAAATGGAAGATTTTAGATCCCTGGGATGGGATTGCAAGAGACGGCTGGGAAGGATTTTTAAGCGTGAGTGAGAAATCTGGAAATTTTGGAATTCTATTGAACTTAATTGACCCATCCGGTTTTAACATAAAATGGGCCTGCGGTTTTCTTTAACCCCGTCGGGTTAGGCGGGCCTATCAGGGGCCAATCCAAATGCATGATAATTAAAATGAATCAACCGGACCGGAACATAGTCTGGTTCATAGGTTTCCGGTTCGGACCGTACCGGTCCGATTCTTATAACTATGGGTTTTATAATTGAATTAGGGTTTCTAGCCTGTTTAAAATAATTCAACGGAACCCGAGTATCATGGCAATAAACTCGACATAGAAGTACATGGAACATACTTAAGCCCTTGCTCGATTTTGATTAAAAAAAAAAAAAAAACCCTCTGTTTTTTTCTATATCAATAAAATCTATTCTATTCTTTACTTTTTTTACTATACGTTCTCCCAATAATAAATTCAATTTTCACAAAATCACATTTCAAAAAATAAAATTAATAAGGACTCAGCATCGTGAACGTTTTTATTATGTCTTTTCACTCTACACTAACGTTACTAATTCACTAAATTCCTATGTTTTTCATTTTTTATTTTTAAGAAAAAGTTATATATAATAAACCTGTTTAAATAAACAATTAAACATTAACAATTTCGAATCGAGCCTTGTTCTTTTACCCAGTGAAATTTCTTAACTTAATAAAAATAAGCTTTTTGTCATTCTTGATTAAGGTTGAGTAGAAGTCATTGTACTTGAAATGAGCCAATCGTGAGATTTAATACTAGGTCAACAACCCTCTTTGAAGGCTTATACGTGACTGTAATTGTATTGCAAAATAAATATACATAATAGAGGAACATAATCTAAATCTACCATAATTTTTGCAACTTATTGAACATTCAGGTCACAATGTGAAATAATTATTCAAAAAATAAATAATTATCATGCCTCTGAGCAACTATAATACATTGAATATAGAATACAAAACACTCATTTCGAACAAAGTGATAAATCAGATAAAGGTGAGGATGATGTCAAACTATCATGCCCCTTATGCCCTAAGCGACACACTTGCTACAAAAGCCGAGAAAAATGTCCTAGTCCCGCGAGGGTGAGCTAACTCCAAAAATCCATCATTAGTTTGCATTGTAGATTACAAGTCGTCCGCATGAAGTTAGAATAGACAGTTTGGCTACAAGGAAATTGGAGAGTTTAATAAATTTCAAACAATTTCCTATTCTGAATTTGGATTTCAAGATCTAATTTCCACATAGCTTGATAGGATGCAGCAGCATTTTGCCTTCATAATTGACATAAACAGTAAGAATAATTGAGGTATGGAACACTTTGCCTCTTACGAAAGCATTATTTGTTAGAGAAAATTCTTCAAATACAAACGTCTTATTCCCGAGCTTTATCACTGTTACAAATCATGTCTACTTTGCCAGTTATTACCCGACCTTCACCAAGTGTATGGGGAATGCACTGAGACAGTCTTGTATCAGACGAGAACTTCCATGTAATCACTGCAAATGTATGCCTGAAAGAGACATATTCGTTCCATACATCCTTATCAAGTGTCAACCTCTCAAGTGCATCACACGACAATAAACATAAAACCAGAGTCTTAAATGCAAGAAACAAAGCCCGGAGTTCACCAAGATATGGAGAGGTCTCCCGCAGAGCTCCACTTAGAGTGGAAATCTCTCCAATGCACTAAACTTCATCAAGAATCTGGTTACAACTTCGTATCTCACCAAAAACTTTAGCATTCTGTTTCAGTGTTTCAATTACATCCAAAAAATTGAACCTCCCTAAGATTGGAATGTCTAACGCTCGCACACTCACTACACAAAGACTACACAACCCCAAATGATGGTCGTTACAGATTTTACATAGAGTACAAATCCAAGACTTGAATCCTTTTCTGAGAGAGGAAGACAAGATTAGGTTTTCGTTATACAGCAAATAAAAGAAGACCCCTTTTAATACAGGCATCCAAAAGCTGAGGTCTTGATTAATCAACAGCTAGGATTAGTCTACGACTTCTCTCCCAACAATAAAAATCAGCATACATGTGTTTCAAGACATAATTCTAATCACACATTTAACAATTTTAAGCTTCAAGAAAATGACAAGAATGTATTATTACAGGCATGTGCATCAAAACCAAGGGCTTTGTGTGTGCGAAATTGACATCTAAATCTTGGCTATCAAGAGTGTGCTTTTGAAATAAAGATCAAGGTTAAGCTTATAGGAATCCAATCCGTGCAATAATATATTGCAGATTCTTTCACATATGACTAAGAAAGACTGGATTTCTTCGAGCAGTATAAGGCAAAACCAAAGTAAAAAATCTAAGAATCAAGACCAGGAGGGCATGTGGTGGGGTCGAACAAAAATAACAAACATTTTAGAGCAGAGGGTCTGTGGTGGTGGTGGTCAATGGCGGCATAGACATTATTTTCTTTAGGAGGTGTAAGAGGACACTAAATGGGGCAGCTGGACGATTACAGGGAAGAGAGAGTAATGAGATAAATCCTATATCTTTTTCTCCTTAATAGTCTTCAATTCCTGCATTTCACACCAATTTGTAAACGCTGACTATCAAAAATTATCTGCACATATATTTCAACTTCTGTAATTACACGCCTATACGTATGTGAAAATATGTATGTCTTTCAATTCTTCTTCTCTACAATCAAAACAGACAAAAGATATAAATTAAAGATCACAAACAGAAAAACACACATTCCATTTTATCCGAACAAAATATATTTTAACGTCTTTGCCAGCACAATCTTTTCAAGTGTTCCTTTTGAGAGGGAAGTGCACCTTGAATTCTTGCCAGCCTGCATGATTGTTCTGTAAATAAACGATATGTCGATGGCCTCTCCCACGGAACAATCCCGAAATCATCATTGTACTTTTCCATCCCTTCGACCAAGAACTGCCAGACGAAAGCTCCTGCCCCGGACTTTTGTTTTTTTGCAGACTTGTATATGATATCAAGTATAACTTTATAGAATCTATCTCGTTGAGAAGGATCAAAATCTTTGTTCTCAGTTGACAATCCAAATTCAGTGAACATTACCGGCTTTTTAAGTTCTTTATCACCATCTTCAATGTGAGAAAGCATCCATTTGGAAATAAATTTTAATTTGTATTCGAAATCTGGAGTATGAGACCTACCAAAAGAAATTGGATTAACATAAATTTGAATTATTGAGTAGCAAAGCAAAGCTTCGAGTTACCAATTTAATCAAGGTAAGAGAATATATATATATATATATCAAAGTATTTAATTATAACGAAGTAGCTTTTAAGAGTGATGCAGTCTCAATAGAGTAAGTTAGAAGAGATAGTGGTAGGATGAAACTAAGATGGCCTAATGTAGTTAAATATAATTGTTTTAGATCTTCAAGTAAATGTAGCAATGAACCGATTAGAGTGGATAAAAAGGATTCATGTAGCCGACATGTGCTTTAGCACACCCAAACACGCTCTTAGTGCATGACTAGCAAAGCCCAATTTTTTTCAGTTAATCAAACATACTTTTTATCAACACTTGCTCTTAGTGCATGATTGGCAAGCCTTTTTTTTTCGCCTAGTCAAACATATTTTTTATCAACATATTTCTTAGGATCCACAACTTACTACATACTTGTTATCCAAACAATTCGTAGGATTCACAGCTTATAAGCACTTTAAAAAATTAAGCTTTGCCAATCATGCACTAGTTGACTCTTCGTTATTGCTGCATTTTCTTTTCATTTTCACTCTTTTGTTATCTTTTTTAATAAAGGCTTGTGAAATTATGCCTCTCATCTTTGAATTAAATAAGTATTACGACAGAAATTCTCTAACCTTCTATAAATTGTGAAAATATTGAACCAATTGGGCAGCTTATGAAATAAAAGTAGATAAATGAGTGGATGAACAGCTCACCAGTGATCAGGGTATATATGAACTGAGGCAAAATCAATAGTAGATATCTTAGAGTTGCGAATGAAATCAGATCCAAGATCAGCTGCCCAGAACTCTGTATTCACAGTTAACCTTTTCGGACTTTTAGGACCATAAAATCCTTCAAGGCCGACAGTCAGCAAATGCTTTCTATCAATTGCTTTCACAAAATTTGACATTTCTTCTATCCAATCCTGCAATTGTATGGGATACAGTTCAATATAGGTTGAACAGTCTGACTGAATGAATCTCGCCTCGGTTGTTTACTTTTCTGAGAAAGCATGCATAAAGATATAGAAAGATAGTTCTCCAAGAAAGAATGACAGGAGTTAAAAGTGTTTAGATGCAACTTCTTAAAAATATGAGCTTGAACGAATTATGAGCTGAGAATTCACGTTTGAACTGACACAATTTCATAAACGACCACGAGCATGTTTTCTAAGCTTAAGAAATCTGCTTGTGAATATACAAGTTTTAAGCAAATTTTTTTTTTTATTGCTTAAAGTTGAAAATATTCTTTACTCTGAAAATAGGTAAACGTTAATTCAAAATGATTAACTCTTTAATATTTAAAATAAGAGAAAAGTAAGTCATCTAAAAATATATGAAAACAAGTTACAAAAAAGTAACTTCTATTTTCTCAAGCTTAGCCAAACATGCTCTAACTATAATTTTGTCAGGCAAAGATTAGAAGCCTCGAGAACTGCAGATAGTTCAAAACTACGGGGCTAACGGCTTTCTCTATCACTGTGACACTGTTCAATCGTACGGCTTTCTCTATCACTGTGACACTGTTCAATCGTGCATCACTCTGTGACGTATGGACAGCCATATTTGGAAATTTTTTAAGGGATTGATAAGGAAATGCTAAAAACATGTGCAGTCTCAGAAATTAAAACTTGGCAAACGTCTTACTGTTGATGTTGATCTTTATGGTTAAAAAAAGAAGTGATAAAGTTCAATATAGCAATCTAATGCCAATATTAGACAAATCAACTAAGTGAACAAAGTTTCAAGCCCAAAATTACGTCATTGGCATTCTAAAGATTGGAAATTAATTAAGTTCAATAAAAGCTCAAGTAATTAATTGTTGTTAAATAGCTTCTGCGTTGATTTTGTATAAACTTCTGAACTAAAAGGGGTGAGAATTTCGTAGCATACTTGGAGTGTGTCACCAGAAGCATCAGTCATACAGCGCGGTTCATTAATTAACTCCCAAGCAAAGATTGTTGGGTCATCCCTGTATTCAATTCCAGAGAGTGTGTTCTTCCTCGTCAGCACTGTCTGCCAAATACGACATATAATTAAATGATGATTGCAAATAAACTTCACTGGTGTAGAATGATGAAAAAGGGACACTCTGTACTTTTTATTAATCATGCTACAGAATGCAGAAAAGGAAAGGTATGTATAGCTAATGACTTGGCGGGTGCTAAACTTGTTGTAAGTAATAACTTGAGGCAACAAAAAGAAAAGAAAATACTCATCCAGACAAAATTCATTTAGCAAGGGCAAAGCTATGTTGGGAAATAATAATATTCTTATGGGAGCATTTGGGATACTTGAAGTGATTTGTTCCTAGAACAAGAATAAGAAGGAAGGCGAAAACGGAAAAACAAATAAAGATACATATTCTTTTTGTGTTTTTATGTTTCCATATGGACGACAAAAGAATGGAGAAGAAAACTTTGTTTTGCTTTAAATCAGATAACCCCTCATTATTATTAGATCTATCCCTGCACCATGTCTTTCTAAGCTGAAATGATGTGCTGTTTATGTTAAATCATACACTGTATATACAAAATGACCTTATATATAACCTCCATTGAACAAAAGTTCAAAAATCACGCCAAAGGGCGCATAACCTTTGCTAAAATTAATTAATGGGATTGATATTAAAACAAAATTTTCCAATCCCCGTTACTGGCCATCAGCATATGGTAATATTTTTATTCACATAACACACGGCGAATATTTTTCATATTTATCTATATTTCTGGTTTGAGGTGCTATATAAGTTGAAATTAGATATCATGAATCAAGTATAAAAACAGTACCAATGAATAATTTTACAAAATAAACAATAAGAGAGAGAATAATTAAAATTTATTGTAGGAATGTCCAAAGGAAAAATTGAAGGAATTAAATTTTGGGCTGGAGCAAGTAACAATATAAAGAACGGTCACTTCTCAAGTTGATTAATTTCTAGCATAGAGTACATCTAGCATAGAGTACATCAATAGTAAATTATTTGTTTATGTGCCAGATCTTCCTACTGCCTCTTTCTAAAGTAATTTTTTTGACTTGTCTATAGCAATTGGAGCATCAACACAAGGTCTACTGAAACATCTAATGATCTTAAATCTTTTGCAACCACTTGCCATATAATTAGGTCCACTCATCTAAAATGTTCTACTAAACTGATTAGAAACTTATAATAGACCTGCACAAAACATGTCCCAACCACTAAAGCTTTTATAATCTTTTATTAACGGCATAAAAGTTAACAAATAAATGGTTTCAGCAGAAAATAAGAAACGATCTCTACAGCGCATAAAACGCTAGGAGTCCATGTATCACCATCTTTGGTAAAATCAAGTTGACTAGGTAGAAACTTGATAAGAAACTTGATAAGTGATTATATGCTTATTATTCTTTTAGCGTGTCTCTTTATAGTAAAAATCTAAAAGCAAGCATTTTAGGAGCTTGGTTAATTATCTCATTTCCAATTATGTTGAATATTATTGTAGTGGTTTTTTTCTAGTAGAATGTGGAACCTCTCAAACTGAGGTTTCAAAAATTTGATCAAGTATTTCAGAAAAACAGCACAGGGATTTTTCACTGCCCAAATAATGTGAAGCATGGATGGGCAACAATTATACAAATAGTTCATGTACAAAAAAAGATCAAACCATTCGAAAAAGGAAACATATTTTATGGTTCAAAATTGTCTTTTTTGCAACAGGAACTTCAAAATTGGGTCTAGACTTGATAGAAATAAACACCATAATATCCAATAAATTACAGCATTATGATTGATGGTACACAGTTAGTCATATTCCTATATGTGAAAAGAAAAGTAAAAATTCCGACGAAATGCCAACAAGAAAAAATAAAATCTTGAATTGTATGTTAGCAACAAAATTTCAGACATTCAAGATATTTTTCAATGAAAAAGGTACAGAAAAGGAATGGATATAAGATTACCTTGACATAGTTTTTAAAATAACGCAAAATTGATGGGTCATAGAAGAATGAATCATTAGAAGCGCTTAAACCAACACCCTCTTCCCATGCCCACTGAACATACTGAGTCTTTCCTCCATATGCTTGCAAGTTATTAACCAAGCTTAGTATCAGCCTTATTCCATGTTTCCTCGCTTCTGCAATTACGTGATCTAAGGACTGCCATAAAAACGCACAAGCATTAAATGAGAGGTACCAAATTGGGGCCCCGGGGGGGACAGCAAATAACCATGTAGGATAGACTAATCCAGTGCAGCAAAACCTCTGTAGAGTTATTTAAAACAGAAAGTGATCACTAAATCCAACATTTCATAGGCTATTTTGTGAATTTTCATGAGATCAACTGATTTTACAAGGGAGCTTATGAGGATAGAATGATATAATGTAAGATTCGTCTGTCATAGGTTAATCCTGATAATATTTTGCAGACACTTCAAGGGCATGTTCAGTACGCAGGACTGCAGACCACTCGACTATAGTGGACAACATATTCAAATATTTTAGCTTATTTTTCTTCCTTAATACTGTCCACTCCACTTCACTGAACATGCCATAAAGATATTGAGTTATTAAAAGATGACCTACTTCCGGCACAACAGAATAGTATTTACTGAAACAACATATATATCCTAACCAATACAAAACAAGGAACCGAGAATCTTGAGTAACTTCTATATGAACAATGGTAAAAAACAGTAACCTATTTGCTTATAATTGATTAAACTCACTCTGAATACTCTTTCATCAAATCGACCAGGGGAAATTTGGAGAGCATTGTATCCACCATCATTGAAAGCCCAGGTTCTGCACACAGTGAGGCCCATCTTTGCTCCAGCTTGCAGCATTGCACTGATCCTGGATCTGCTGGATTCGTCCACACCATGGTCCATCAACCAGTAAGAATTCCATCCATTGATATTAAAAGGTTTACCATCCACCATGAACTGAGTCCCATTCCTCTCCACAAAGCTTAATTTTGTTTCTCCACGGATATCAACCCACATGTCCCCAAAAGACATGTATGTGAAAGCAACACATAATGAAAAACCAATGATTGGGTACAACACCCCATTTCCTCCTGCCATTCCGTTCATATGTGATTTAATCATGAAAATGAACAAAAACTCAACACTGTGTATTCTCTATGCTGCAAGTTAAGGAACTGCTGAAACGATTATATCAAAATGGACCCATAAATCAAGAATCTGCCAAAAATTATGAATCCCAAGATGGGTTTTGGGGGTTGGATCTATTTAACTCCCCAAATCTTTAAATCCCAGAAAAGGACAAGATTCTTAGAGTACACCAGATTCCCTTCTGCAAAAGGGCACCGAAATAAATTCCAGAAAGGCAGCCAAATTCCAAGAATGATCAATGAGGAGGATAAGGGGTTGACTCTTCTCTCCTGTGTGTTTGTGTGAGTGTTTTCTTCCACCTGTTAGTTACTATGGGGATTTTATAATACAACAATGTGAAACACTCAGGGAGGTTGAGAATAACACACCTAACATAGATCAATTTCAAGAAACAGTCGACAGAATTCAGAAGGAAGTTTAATAAAGACGAAGGTGAGATATTGGTATCAACTGTTGCCTGATTAGATCTGAGCTACTGAAATCATTGATAATTTTTCATTTCTTGAATTTTTAATGCTGCAGTAATATGAATCATCATTCTTCCTCGGTCATTTACGTTCTTTACTATGCTTTTATTTGATTTTCATTTTTTAACATTATTTATTCCAAACTCATTTTTAATTATGCATATCTCAATAAAATAACTCTAAACATGAATTTATAATTTTTTTCTACTTTTAATTATATATATGTTTTTTAAAAATTACACTTCACAAAAATACTTCTCAAAAATTTGAAATTAAACAAGCGCTGTATTTTCTGTTTTTTCATATGTGAAAGGNTGTGCACTGAAACAATATTAGGTGCAACCCCCTTATTCTTGTTTCCATGCCCCTTTTGATCTGGACTTCTTGGACATTTTGGACCACTTTCTCTTTCCACATATGCAATCATACATCGTAACACATACAGCACAATTTATTGTTCTTAGATATTAGGAAGATGTGGTCGACAAAAAAAAAATAAATAAATAAAAATTCAAGGGGTGTGTTTGGCATTCGAGACATGGCAGCCTCAGTTTATACATATGTTTATTGAAATAACTTCCGCTCTCTTAATCTTATCTCTTGGAATAGTAAAAAAACAGAATATTGTTGCTCAGATGTTGAAGGGTGCTTACCCTTCCCTTATTTTAAAATTCAAAATGGGTCAAAGGGGAGAAATTCTTGAAATAAGTCTTTTCATTTATAAGTTTACATAACGTATTTTATCCATAATTTTGAAATAACGGAGAGAGAAGCAACAACTATAACTTGAGATCAAAATGAGAATCCCGTGCTCTTTTCTCTATTTCAAAATCCTAATTGAAATATATAGTCCTTATATGGTGTAGTTAAAAATCAGATTTTCAGTAAATTTTATTAAAATCTGAGTATATACATAGTTGAAATTGTAAATTAAAAAAATGTATAATTAAAATTAATTTTTAACTTGCACTTAAATTTTTATCAAAATTTTAAGCTACACAAATAGAGGTATAAAATGCATGTGTAACTAAAAGGTGAAAGCAAGATACCTAGAGGAATTCAAGACCTTATGGGGTAAATTTGATGTCCAGTACAACTTATTTCTTCCTTCATCCTATCGAGTACTAATGTACTACTAGGTCCAATATTCCATTTGTGTCTTTAGTGTATATAAATATTTACCGAAGACCTAAGTAATAGGTGCATTAGGAGCTGGAGCTCTAATATTTTCAATTAACTTGACTCCCATTAAATTTCATTCTACTTTTCTCTTGTTCATTTTTAATCATACGATCCTCCATAAAATAATATTACATATAAGCCTTCCAAAGTATAACTCAGTGGTGCAAATGATAGGAGTAGGTTGTCTCAACCTTGCTGGCAACCGCAGTGTGATAGTTCGATTTCTGATATATGGAATTGGACTCTTTGTGGGCACCAATGTACGGGCAAGCTCTTGTTCCCTGACTTGCTGAGACACATCCCTGGATTTACCTCCCTCGTGATACTCCAGAGACGAGGGCATATGGGCCCTCAAGATTGGAGTTCAACCTTCTTTTATATTACACGTAAATCGAAGAAAAAATTTTTGACTTTTCAATCACTTATTTTTCAAAAATAATATTATTTCACTCATTTTCATTTCAAAAAATAGGCCAAATGGGGGCTTAAACCTAATCGATAGATTTATCAATCCTTCTCAAGTTAAAGTCAATTGCCACCGACAGCAAGCAAAGGTGTATTGATGGGTTAACCTAACATTGTCCCTCGAAAGATAAGGCCTAAACCTAGGAACAAATCATTCCAAAAGGCCAAATTATTTCTTATCTTCTTCCTTCGGAATGATTGCATCGTTACTTCCATTAATCAAGTAACTCTTTGTGCTCGAATGAAAGATTGTACGTCCCTTTCTAATTATCGTCACTCTGTATAATTAGATTGAAAATATAATAAAATTTATAAGAGTATAGTTAATGATTTGTGGCATAAATGGTTATATAAGTGACTAATCCATATATCCAGGAGGTGCATATTTAATTCACTAGAACAAATCTACGCTATAATGCCAGAATGAAAAGATCACATTTGTTAGGGTTTCAATAATATATATTGCCACAGTAATCTAAAAATGATTTTGCAATGGTCGACTTAGAAGTGTAAAACGAGTCGAGTTAAATAATTGCAAACGCTCACAACCAGGAGTTCAGTCACAATTGCATTGTTACTTTCATTAATCAATTAAGTCTTTGTGCCCGAACGAAAGATCGCACATCCTTTTCTAATTATTACCACTCTGTATCATTAGATTGAAAATATAATAAATTTATAAGAGTATAGTTAATGATTTGTGGCAAAAATGGTTATAAAAGTGACTAATCCATATATCAAGGAGGTGCATATTTAATTCACTAGAACAAATCTATGCTACAATGCCAAAATGAAAGGAGAGGACATTTGTTAGGGTTTTTATAATATATATTGCCACAGTAATTTAAAAAATGATTTTGCAATGGTCGACTTAGACGTGCAAAGTGAGTCAAGTTAAACAATTGCAGGCTCACAACGAGGAGTTCAGTCACAATTGCATTGTTACTTTCATTAATCAATTAAGTCTTTGTGCCCGAACGAAAGATCGCACATCCCTTTATAATTATTGTCACTCTGTATCATTAGATTGAAAATATAATAAATTTATAAGAGTATAGTTAATGATTTGTGGCAAAATTGGTTATATAAGTGACTGTTGACCCCAAAAAGTGTTGCCAATAGATACCGGTTCCACCCGTACACACGTGGGCGAATGTCCAATACGCTAAGACACATGGACGGTCTAAAACGAGCGGTTCAAAGGGCGTGGGAGTCGCCCAACGACGCGGGATGGTGACGTTCGGAATCCGACGGATTGTTCGTGATCCGATTGTATAATAATTACCAACCGGTGTTCGTAAATATATATGTAAATGTGTATAAACTCGATTTGTGTATTGCAAGTGAATGAGAGAGAGTTGAGTAAAGTGTAGTTCTTTGTATTGATTCTTGTATTAGCCTTTTGATGTTACACAAGGAAAGTATTTATAGTGGTACATGTGAAATGGGAGCCCTTAGATGAGGTGGCACGTGGCCTCATCTCTTTGATTTAAACATCTTATCAGGCATGAGTTTGACTTGCTAGCTTGTAGCGTATTTATTGTTTGTGCAGAGCCCCCATACTAGTGACAAGACTTGACATTTATGCTTATGACAAATGTTCCATCAATCATTCGAATAAGATCTTTATGCAGACGATCTCTTGGGAGAAGTGAACATGGAGGACACTCCCTTGTGGTTCAGAGGCTCCTGCATCAGCTTCGGAGCCTCGGCCATTTCACATAATACTTCCGCTTGAGAGCTTCAGTTATCTTCAACTAGCTTCAGCATCATGGCTTCGATTTATGGGGCTCGGCATGTGGACCTTGGGTAAGTTCACGGGTCTCGGTAAAAAGGCGCCTCGGTTATTGGACTTCGACTTGAAGGGCTTCGACCATTGCCCACCTCGATAATATATGCCACTTCGACTGGAGTGCCACATGGTTCGGTCTGAGTGGGCCATTGGCCCAGATGGATTGGCCAAGTATGACAACACGCAACAATAACTATTCCATATATCAAGGAGGTGCATATTTAATTCTCTAGAACAAATATCTGCTATAATGCCAAAATGAAAGGAGAGGAGAGGACATTTGTTAGGGTTTTTATAATATATATTGCCACGGTAATTTAAAAATGATTTTGCAATTGTCGACTTAGACGTGTAAAGCGAGTAGAGTTAAACAATTGTAAATGCTCATAACAGGAGTTCAGTCACAGTCTAAAAATCAAATTTCAAGAAATTGTTTATATTTCATAAGCGCAGGGGCTCGATCTCACGAGTCTAATGTGTGCATTTCAAATGTGCAGGTAAACGCTTGACAGGATAGGGAAGGGAGACGAGATTTATTGACCCACTAAGTCTCGATCATGTTCGGAGGTCAACAGAGGTCATGTTTGCAGTTACAACTCATTAAAGAGACATCAAATTGGAGAAGCATGCCCAACTTTTCATTCTTTACAACATAATTCAGCCATGTTTACAAACTTCAAAGAAATGTGCAAGTGCATAAGAATGAAATATTAGTTGGAAAATGAATGTCAATACCAAAGCTTTCTACAATCTTTAGCAAGAAACGCCTCATATTTTCACTTCCTTTTACAACAACAAAGGAATATTACACCACAAGAAATTTACAAAGAACTTACAAAATTTCTAATTTTCATCCTACCAAGTTTCTCAAAGGTTAAAACGGTGTGGGGTAATGTCGAGTGTCGACATGTTTGTCGAATGACAGATGCTTCAAGCCAGCTATTAATCGATAATGGACATGAGTTTCAAAATTTCGATCTAGATCTATCACCTTAACTGTTATCGACAAATGATCCCAGATCGTGCAATCAAGCTCCTCGAGCTTCGTGCCCAAGAACCAAAACCTTATGTTCATCACTCAAAATCTGACCCAACACCCTCCTTACTTCTCCTAACAAGTACAAAATACCCAATAACAGCACAAATTGCAGCCACAACATTGCCTTCCCTAATTAAAACCTTCACCACAAACCCAATAATCTCAGCCGTCAATTTCCTCCCCTCCACCACCAAATCCCTTCTGGGCTTCCCACAAAAAGTCAAAAGCACAAGCAAAGTGATCCACGTCACCAGAGTTGCCGGCACCGCCACGGCCAAGGCGGCCACCACCGACAGAACCCCAAACGCCACCCCCAAAACCACCGATACAGACAAAACTGTCCACCCCGAAGCAGCAGTTGCCCTAAACATGGTCGATTCATACCAAGAAAGTACAGATTTTAAAAAATTCCAAGAAAGGTATAGTAAAATCGTGTAAACAGCAACAAATAGACAAACCCATGTTCTTCTTTTGCTCATAAGCTTTATGAGTAACATGGAGGAGTAGGATTCTTCTTCCGTGAATTCGTCCGCCATGGGTTGTGCTTGAATTTGATGGGATCTGGTAATACACTTTCTATGCTACTGTCGGCTTGTTATGGTTAGTTTGGTGAACAGCAGTCAGCAGGTATTACTAGGGATGGCTACTTGGGGGAATTTATCATAAAGAATAGAGTTCAGCGTGAAGACAGCCCCTGTTTGGCCTCATTTCTTGATAATCAAAATGGGTGGAATAGTATTTTTTTTAAAAATAAGTAATTGGAAAAAATGGAAAAAATTTTGATTTATGTGTAATATTATTTCATAAAAGATTGTATGGTTAAAAATAGGAGAGAAAATAGAATATAATGAAATGTATTTTAATGGGGGTTTAGGTCATTTTTGTTCACGATAGCGTGAGTGATATTGAGAGCATGTTTGGAAGCGGATTTTTTACCAAAAAAATTGACTTTTTCATCGTTATTTCATTATTCCAGCCGTCATATTTGACCTCTTCTTTTGGAGGTGGACCTCACTTTTCCTTCTAACGGTCAAAAAATCAATTTTCAAAATCATTTCCAAACAAGCTCTGAATGTTTGGAAATTGGAGAACTTATGCTAGATACTGAGTCTTTCTTTTTAAAGAGTTATTGGAGGAAAATAATTTTTTGAAGAATATGTGAATAAAAAGAAGAAAAAAAATTTACGTACAAAAAATTTTATTAATATTTTGCAAAGTATAATTGAAAATGACTCTGAAGAGAAAAAAAAAATTGAGAAAAAAAAAATGGAAACAAACTGGAACTAACTCATAACCTATGAGTTCAAAGTAAGTTGTAAGAATTGGACCAATGAGTAGAAAAGGTGCTCAAAAAAGAGACTAATCTAATATTGTGTATCAAAAACGACTAGATGGATAAAGATACCAACTTAAAGATCATTATGCGGATAATAAGATAAAAGAGGCATGGGTTTATCAAAGCAAGTCAAGTGAGACTCGTATTAAAACTAGATGAGGCAAAGTTAATTCTCTGTTTGGCTCTCATTTTTTGGAAATGAAAATTGATGAAATAATTTTTATTTTTATTTTTAAAAATAAGTGGTTAAAAGAGAAAAAAAATTCGATTTACGTCTAATATCATTTTATGAAAAATTGTGAGATTAAAAATAAAAAAGAGAAAAATAAAATATAATGAAATTTACCCCCACGTACCCTTTTTCATCAGGAAAAATGCATTTTTTCTACTAACGTGGGTCCCACGTGATGACATACATTTTTTGAATTGACTAGTACAATTTTTATCTTTTCCAAAATACCCTCATTTGCCTTCAAAAACTCACCCTTTTTGACTTTCTCACCTACCGTAATTTTGGCCTATTCTAAAGGGTAATAAAGGGATTGGTGTTTACAAAGTTGTTTGTGTACAGCCTCCAGTCAGTGCTTTGTCAGTGGAAATGACTAGTAACGGAAATTTTTTTTTTTCTAAACTAAGAGTGCTAAACGGGCAACAAACAGGAGCTTAATGTAATAAGATTCAAACGGAGGCTAAGTTAACCTTCAATTTTTTGGGTCATCATCCCTTGTTCCTAGTGATGGCAAAAGAGCCGAATTGCTTGCGAGCGGGGCTCATCCTTCCTCTAACTCATTTTGAGATGAACCATGGATCGAGTCGAGCTCACATTTTCTTCATGGACGGTTCAACTTGTTTGGACTTGTAGACTTTTCAATTCGTTTAGGCTCGTGAGCGACTTGACTCGTGGGGCCCACGAGCCGAGCCAATTATAAAATTAGGGCTCGAGCTTGGGCATCTACGGATCGAACCAACTCGACCTGATCTATTGCCAGTCTTGCTAGTTCCTTGATGGGGCTACTTAAGATTCTCTTTTGAGCGAGCCACAGGAAGAAAAGTTATTCTCAAGTCACGTAAGTTGCAATTGATTTTGAAGGTACAAAAAGTAAGAGGTGAGAGCATCCAATGTCTTAGGACTAACAAAATTTAAAACTTAGAAAAGTACTCAATATTCTCCATTTTGGGAGCAATTTCTGAATCCGACAACAAGATCAAAATGGAAGATTGAAGAGCTAAATGTCGATAATAAGGCCAGAGACTAGTTGGACCTAATCATACTTTTCCCTCCATGAGTACACAAGAAAGAAAACCCACGAAAGTGCAAGCACAAAATCGCCAACAAGCTGCCTTGGCCAATCGTTAGCTAAATCGTCGAGTCTCCTCTCAAAGTACAACCTCCAGAGGGCCATTGAGAAATGAAGAAGAATACACCCTTTAGCAAAAATGCATTGGAACTCCCTGTCCTTGACAAAAGCGACCATGAACAGCAAACTCCCAATCACAACCAAAAGCAACCCAGCAAATGAATCAGAAATCTGAATCAACAACTGATCATGTGGAGTTGAACCTAACAACTTCATTGCTGTCTCAGTTCCATGTCCAAAAACAGAGATTTCATTGAGATAAAACATTATCAAACCTCCACAAGTTATAGCTATAAGTGAGTGCAGAATGCAGATAACGAAAAACCCAGACGATCCCATTTACCAGTTCAAATGGAAAATTGAAGACTTGTTGAGTAAAATGAGGTTTCAAGATTCAGAACCTTGGCCCGAGGTTGCCTGAGGCACAGAAAATTTCAGCTATTTATAGTTCAGACTTAATACCAAGATGAAGAATTGGTACAAAATGTGCTCAATTTCACATCACTTTGATCTGGAATCGGGAATTGAAGTTCCACACCGTAGATCATGGCAATGATGTCTGTTCTCGATCCACTCCAGAATATCTTTTGAAACTGAAGAATATATAGTGCATTTGAAGGAAAGACCGAAAGAGTGAAGAAACAAAGCCCCATGCCCCATATGTATTGAGAATTTCGATGAAAAAAATAAGGGATTGGGATTCTGAAATTGGGAAACTGCTAACCCTAAGTTCACGAGGCAGAATCAGAAGGCTGGTGACAGTTAGCAAAGTTCCATTGATAAGCGTGCATTTGAATTGTAAGTTTTTGTTTTCTTTGCTTAAGGGCTTGTTTGGCCGAATTTCTGCTTCTATTTTTCTTATAAAAAAGCTTCCTTAAAATGTTATCTTAAGCCATCTTCCTCTAAACATTCTTATATTTGGGTAAAGTTCCTTGAAAACTCAATCGTCTAGACTATCTCGAACGCATCATTTGTTTATATGTATTAAAAATAATTTTTGTCAGCAACTTCTCACATTTAGGCAACTAATAATTTTAGAAGTGATGTTTTCTAAGCTTTTATCTTGTTTAGACAACGCTATTCTCTTCGCTCTTTCCTACAAAATATACAAAAAGATGTTTTAAATATAAAAGTCATATATTTTGCGCTCATTTGATATAGCTTTTTTGAAATTATATGTGATTAAACTTTATTTTAATCACTTATTTCATTAAACCCATAATTTTTATCAACTGTTTAATTATACGTTTCATAAGACCTACGAACTAATATTGGCAAAAAAAATCTGTCAAACAAGGTTATAATGAACTTGTATCAATAATTTTTAATATCTTTTTCCTTTTCATTTTAGTCATTTAAGTTTAATTAAAATCTCAGTCCAATCAAAGTTGTCATTTCTCATCGTAAAAAGTTTGACGGAAAACTTCATTATTTGATCTATTTTTCTACACAATAATGTCTATTTAGATTCACGATGAAAAAGTATTACTCACGAAATCAACTTTTAGACAAGATGATAAGGTAATGTCTAAACATGTACCAATGAATTAATTCTTGGCTTTGAAGATGTCACTTGGGCAAGGGGCTTTTCACATTGCCGCGTTCTTTCCATGAAACTGCAAGGTCCTTTCTATGGGCCCACCCTCAATTTCCCATCAAGTTTTGCTATAGTCCTGGACTCAATGACATGGTTAAAAAATTAGGGAACACACTCCTTATGAGATGATCGAGTTTATAGAGTAAGTGAACATAGAGATCTTTGGTCATGAGTTCGATTCTCTCTATCAACACTTTTTCGTTTGAGCATATCGCACAGGGGCCAGGGCTTATCTGGTGCGATTTACCTGACTGACATGGATTACATAATATTGCATCAATCCGAGAACTTACCCAGTACGCACCCGAAGGTAGTGATGTCAATAGGTCGAGCCGAGCTCGTGGCTCGTTGATTTTGGGCCAGCTCGGCTCGCGAGCTCGTTATTTTTTTTTTAAATAGAGAAAAACACAAATAATATAATGAAAACACTTTTAAAAAAATAAAAAAAATGTTAAAAAATACAAATAATTTAATGAAGACATTTTTTTCTATGATATTGTAATCTTTTTTATAAAGTATAAAATATTTATGTAACAAAAACGAATTGTTTTTTGAAATACATTTACAAAAAATACTTTTTTCGATTTTTTTAAAAAGTAAATAAAATATAAACTCTTCTCCTTTATCCGGGTTTGGGGCCAGTTACATCAATTTTAAATAGGCTGAGTTAAAAATTGTACACAAACAACTTGTTGTAAATCAAATATCACTTACCTAACGACATGCAATTTTAGCGTATTTACCTTGTAGTCGAAAATGAGCGTCTTGTCAATCCTTCACACACATTAACGCTTTCAAAACATCTTCTTTTAATCGACTCCTGACATCGGTCAAAATTAATTTCCCTACATTAAAAGGAGATTTCGAAGCAACAGTGCTAACTGGAGGTGTCAGCAGATATTTCGCAATTGCAAAAATAATTTGCCAATGTCTTTCATACTTTCGTCCAAATTCAATTACTTCTTTTGAACTTTTTTTAATTGTTTTGTCTGTTAACATATTATGATTGAAGTAATCAATTAATTCGGCAGGAATCGCATTTTGAGTAGCGCCCAATGTTTGATGAGATGTAAATGTAGATGATATGGCACTAGATGAACACATTGCAGTTGCATCATATTTACATGTATTAATGCATTGAAATAAATTCATTATTTCGGCATCATCTTCTTCGATTTTAGTCGAAGGAGTAGGTGCAGAGGGTACCTGGCTAACATTCGTAACCATTATTTCCGCATATAAATCATACATTCCACATAAATGTTTGCTATAAATTCTTATAAGTGATAAGTGTATTAAGTATTAAGACTTTATTGATTTGATCAATTACGTATCTAATTCTCGAAATATTATATCAAGGGTCCATTGCGCATAGTAAAATAAATAATATAGGCAGTTCTTTCCAATATTTTCTAAACTTTAATTCCATAACAATTATAATTTCACTAAAAGTAGGATCATTTTTATATTTATGGAATGTTCTTAAAATTATATAAAGGCATTCAAACACCATACAGTTTGTAGGATAATAAACGCCGAATAAAATTTTTGTGATCTCATAAAAAGATGTCAAAAATCGTTTAACTTTCAAAACTAAAACCCAATCGGATTCATTCAACATACGATCATCATCACTTCTAACACGTCTATTGTTATAAAAGTCAGTTATTAAATGTTCGAAACATTCACATAACTTTAATAGCAAGTAATTAGAGTTTCATCTATGGTCTATGTTGCTAACAAATATTTTAGCAGTCGTCACCTCTAGTTCGACAAAAAAAATTTCAAATGCTTGTTTTCTAATAGAAGAAACCGTAATATATATTAATGCATTTCTATTCCTTTGAAGTTGATCCTTTATATGTTTTAAACCATCTTACACAATTAAATTTAAGATATGGCACACACAGCGAATATGAAACAAATACCCAACAAAATCAGGTTGGAGTGACCTACACAATTTATCGATGACTACCTTATTAACACTAGCATTATCAAAAGTAAAAGATCGAAATTTAATCTTGTAATTATATTCTCTAACAATACTGATAATAATATTATATATATTATTAGCATTTTGAGAAAACTCAATAATTCTAAAAGAAATAATTTTTTTATGCATGCACCAAAGTGGGTCTGTATAGTGTGTGGTTGCAGCTATATATACTCTTTTATTAACCTCATTCCCTTATATCAGAAGTTAAAGATATAACACCCCATATTGTTGTAAATTCATAATAATTGTTGTTTTGAATTATTGAAAATATTGTATTGTGTTGGCACGAAGAGCGTTTAGATTTACCTCAACGTACCTTGATTGCAGATATTATTTCACAAATGAGACGAAGTGTTGGTTGTCTGCAGCAGCCAGAAGCAACTCAGTGGCGACAACAAATTTCATCATTCCAGTTCGAATATTGTCCTCTGAATACACCCACATGGATAAGGGTGAAGTCGTAGAACTGGCGCCTGGACTGTCAAATTGTAATTGTGTTTGACCAACTGAAAGAAGTTCATGTCTAGGAGCACATGATTTGTAATGGCGGTTGAGACGGGTCGTACCAATTCCTTTTTGCCATGCCAATATTTGTTGGAAGTATTTACATACTGCCTTAGATTCTGTAAGGCCATCGATGACTTTTCCCATTGAAATCAATTTAAAGCGATCCCAACATTTTACTTGTTTTTTACCCTTTCGCGTTCTCCTCGCATCTGAGATGTTTAATTCGACATCTTCGTCCTCATGTTCCGCTTCGAAAACGTTAATATCATCCAAATTAATTGGATTGTGACTTCCATAACTGTAAATATGAACATCTTCAAGTATGGGTACATCATTTAGACCGACAAATTCATTTGAAAATTGACTTTGCGGCTTCCTAGGCGATTCGCCATATGACCCACATCCTGTATCGAATAAACTCTCAACAAATGAGCTTTGATCCATTTGTTTAATTGTTTATGAAGAAATCCATATATAATAACTAGTAAAAATATAAATGTAATGAGAATTTGATGAATTGAAATTGTAAAAAATGAATCGATATTATATATTTTGCACAACAGCACAAAGAGTAAAAACTCGATAATTGATATAAAAGAGAGTGGAAAGAGTTGAAGTGAGAATGATGAGATAATTGATATGAAAAAAAAGAGTTAAGGGGGTATTTATAATAGAAGGAAATAAATAAATAAATAAATCAGTGACCGAAATGGTTACTGAAAATTTTCAGTGACCAAACAGTCACTTTTTTAAAAAAAGTTTGGTCACTCAAATTTGGCGAGCTACTCGTGGGAGAGCGGGCTTAGCTTGCCTCCCGGCAAGACCGGCCCGGCTCACGCTCGGGCTCGTGATTTTACGAGCCTGAGCTGCCCAGGTGCCTTATTTCGACGAGCTGAGCAGTCGAGCTGGCGAGCGGTTCGGCCCTTTTGACATTCCTACCCAAAGGGTAGCGGCTGTGCATTTCCCCGTCATACAAAAATAAAAATTAGGGAACACATAATGCAACATCATTGGATTATTAGAAAAAACCATAAAGGTATTGTCAATGAAGCACCTGTCAAAGTCCCTGTCTTTAAATCCTGTTTGGATAGCATTATTATTTCCAATCAAAGCGAGTCAAAACTATCCATTGACAAGTCAACATAATCTACGGGTCTAATTGGATCAAAAATGGGACCCATGTACTCTTTCAATTTTCTTCAAGCCCTGCTTTTTGCCCTGGCCTTTGGCCACCCCCATTGTTTTTTTGGCCTAGCCTTGAGCTTGGCCAAATAGGGCTTTTCATTTTCTTCAAGATTTGCTACATTATTAGTTGGCCTCCGGGGTTTGGTATGTGACCCCGACAAAGAAGAATAATTCATTTTCTTCTCCATAAGAATGATAACACCATGGTGTGCAATCGCATCATTCTCAAATTACTAGTCACTACACGTGCGTTGCACGAATTTTGTATTTATCGTATTTTAATTAGTATATGAATTTTAGTTTTTTTTGGAAAATTTTTGAAACAATATCTCAAAATATTTCCATGATATAAGAAAATAATTGTAAATTATTTTTACAATTACATAGCAGTATGTTATCTAAAAAAAATATACTTGTATATTTCATGCTAGAATAAGAAATATACAAATTATTTTGCTTGTATTCTTTGATAGTGTTGATATGATTGAATTGAATGTAAATATTATATTTCTAAATTTTGTGTAATTCAATATTGAAAAATTGAAAAAAAAAACTCTCCGCACAGTGCGAAGAAAGTTGAATTAAGTGCAGAGTAAAAATAAAAATAAAAAAGGTGAGGAGAGAAAAAACCTCTCCGCACAGTGCGGAGAGAGTTGAACCATGGGAGGAGAGTTGGCAAACTCTTCGCACAGTGCGGAGTAAAAAAAAAACTCTCCGCACAGTATAGAGAGAAAAAAACTCTCCGAACTGTGCGAAAAGAGTTAATCTCTTTGCACAGTGTGGAAAGTTGGTCCGCACCAGGGCAAAACTCTCTACACAATACGGAGAGAAAAAAATCTTCCACACAATGCGTAGAGAGTTGAACCATGTGCGGAGTAAAAAAAAGTGTGGAGAAAAAAAAAACCTTTCTGCACATTGCAGAGAGAAAAAAACATCTCCGCATAGTGCGGAGAGCGTTGAATCATGTGTGGAGAGTTGACAAACTCTTCGCACAGTGTGGAGTAAAAAAAAATCTTCGCACAATGCAGAGAGATAACAAACCAGCTCTCCGCATAGTATAGAGAGAAAAAACTCTTCGCACAGTGTAGAGAGTTGTTTTCAAATTCCTTAATTACAAGTCAAATTTCAAAATTGTAAAATTTTCGTATATACAACGAAACGGAGTCCAAAAACATGGCTCAAAATTAATTATGTCTTCTTTAAATTCCAGTCACAGCTCAATTTCTGAGCATACAAATTATATTGACGGTATTGGAAAGGAGCTTTCTCGTGATTCATATAATGAAACAGTATGTGAGTTGTGCAAAGAAGGGAATATTGATAGTACCATGACATTGTTTTCACAAATGGAGGCTTTAGGGTATCACTCAAATTTAATATTTTACACTTACTTGATAACAGCTCTTGGATATTAGAAGAGGATACAATTTTCAATGAAATTATGCTTTTGGGTTATAAGCCAGGAATTAAAGTGTTCAATGCATTGCTCAAAAATTGTTTGGAAATAGGCCTCTTGGAACTTACAGATAAAGTCCTGAGAGTTTTTGCTTTTCTCTTCACACTGTGCGGAGAGGTAGTTTGCCATCTTTCTACACTTTGCGGAGTTTTTTTTTTTTTGGCTCATATGCGGAGATTTTTTTTGTCTCATGAAATTTATATATACTAAAATTATTATTTTTTATGTTGTTGACATGATACATGTGTGGAAAAATATTTGTCAATCACCATAAATAAAATTCTTTACAAAATGCAAAAAATAAAAATATATAATAAATCTTTTCATTACGCTAATAAAATTACGATAATTTTTTTTACAAATAACATAAAAAAAATCATTTTTATCTTCAACAAAAAAAAAAATTTTAAAATAGTAATTTCGTAACCACTTTTTTTTTTTAATTCTAGAAAATACAATTATAAAAAAGGAAATAATATTGAATTACAACATTTAATACTTAAGAAATTCAATATTAAATAACTTTTATACATTTATAACAAATTATAAATCCATATATGCAGTTTATCGTATTTGTAGGCAAATTACCGTATATACAGCTTACCGTATATGCTGCCTACCGTATTTGCAGCCTACCATATTTGCAAACAATTTACCGAATTTGCACCTTACCATATGTGCTGTCTATCGTATTTGCAGCCCATCGTATTTGTAAACAACTTACCGTATTTTCATCTTACCGTATATACTGCCTACCATATTTGCAACTTACTGTATATGCTGCCTACCATATTTGCAGCTTACTGTATTTTTATATACCGATTTTTGCACTTACAAATACCGAGAATGTAGAATATCGTACATTTACTTACCAAATCGAATTTAAAAAAAAATTTCAGATTTTTATTTTTTCAATATAAGTATAAAATAAATATTAAATATATATGAAGCACGAAATATAAATACATACGAATATGTTGCTCGATCTTCAATTTTTCAATATTGAATTACACAAAATTTAGAATTATAATTTTCATATTCAACTCAATCATATCAACACTATCAAAGAATAAAAGCAAAATAATTTGTATAATCTCGTATATTTCTTATTTAAGTATGAAATATACAAGTATATTTTTCTAGATGACACAATACTGTTATGTAATTGTAAAAATAATTTGCAATTATTTTCTTATATCATGGAAAATTTCTAGATATTACTTCAAAAACTTTCCAAAAAACTAAAATTCATATACTAATAAAAATACGATAAAGCAAAATTCATGCAATGCACGTGACAATCACTGTGAAAAGAGTTTTTGTTTTTTTTTTTAACTTCGCACTGTACGGAGAGTTTGTCAACTCTCCCCACCGTGCGAAATTATTTTTTTTGTTTTTTTTACTTCGCACTGTACGGAGAGTCCGCACAGAATGTCATCTCTTTGTATTGTGTTTAGGGTTTTGCTATGGTATTTGCCATCTCTTTGCACTGTGCGGAGAGATTTTTTTTTTATTTCGCATTGTACGGAGAGTTGGGAAACTCTCCGCACTATGCGCAGAGTTTTTTCTTCCCTTTTACTCCGCACATGGTTTGTCATCTCTTCACACTGTGCGGAGAGTTTTTTTTAAAACTTATGTGTGAAGAGTTTTTTTTGTGCTCATGACAGTTTATATTTACTAAATTTATTATTATTTTTTTAATAATAGTAACATGATGTGTGGAAGAATATTTGTTTGACATAATTATTTTTTTAATGTCAGTGGGATGATGTGTGAAAGAACATTTGTTTGACATAAAAAATGAAAAATGACATCATACATACTAAAATTAAATTCATTTACTATTGCATAAATAGTAGGCCCTCCTCCCCCATTTTTTTTTTTTAAGAAGTTAGAAACCAAACCAAAGGATTTTCCATATTTTGACAAATATCTCACGCTAAGGGCAAATTTGTAATTCATAGAAGTTTCAGGGGCAAAACCGGAATACTAGTCAACTCCAGTCATTTTACAATACAAAAATATGATCCTGCACAAATTATAGAATACATCGCAACCCCATAAAAACAAAGAACCAACTCATTTTCGTTGGGCTGTTCACACCTTATCCAATGATATACTTCCACGTTGCAAAATAAATACACAAGCAGTTGTAACGATTGTACCTTTAAACTTCTCTTCCTGCATAGGGTAGGAAACTTACCTAAGAAGGCGCGAGCGACTCTCTTTATTGGCTACTTTATCATTCCCTACAACTTACTTCCTGATAGTACTTCACTGCACTCTCTCCCTCACCCCCCGCCTCTCTCTCTCTCTCCTATATATTGAGTTCAATGGACGTTGAAATCGGAGAATTGGCTTCACTAGATTCTGTTTCGAAGAAGCTTAAACAGAGTGAGGTATTTCTCTAATCCCACACCACCCAGCGTCAAGCAATTGAATTTTCGTTTTTTGAAAGTTTTGATTTGTGGGTTTTTCATATCTGGACGGAATTTTGATTTTGACATCTTGTGATCGATAGCTTTCTTGGTGGTTTGGATGCTTTTAAGGTCTGATTGTGGGTGTCGGATTTTAATTGTGTGATTGTAGATATTTGTTTATTTTTTGCGCAGTAACGTAATTGAGTTTCTGGGTTTTGTGTCAATGATAGAAAATTGAAAAATTAGTGAATTGGACAAATAATTGATCAAAATAAGGTGGCTCTAATCATTAAAGAAAACACACTTGGAGAAAATATTGTATAGGGTCAATTCGTTCGTATGTATTTGCTGAGAAAAAAATATGTATGTATATGTATACAGAAGGGAGTTCCTAAATGCAACTACAAGGCTAATAATTGTGGTTACTGTTGATCTTTATGTAACTACGTAACTTACAAGATTCCACCAAAATAAAATCTGAAAAATGTGATTTACACTTATTCCTTATGGCAATGTCTTTACCTTGCCCGAAAGATGGTGAGCTTGTGATGTCGCCAATAAGGCAGTAAAGTTGGAGGCAAGCTAGTGGCATGGTGAGGGAGTTATCAATTTGATTGGAGGATGAAACATGGGAAAATATGCAAATTGCCATTTTGATCTTTGCTGTGAATAAAATGAAAGTCAATGTCAATGCTTCATGCGAGAGTGGAATAGAGGATTTTTTGGCATAGAGATAAGTGACACTAACATTGCCCAATATATCATGAGGCATTGTCATAGTGAAAGAACTCAATGCATGAATAAGGAAGAGACAGAAGAACTTACATTGTGGAAACAACTGCGCAGTACTCGGCTTTAGTTGATCATTTCATTGTTTCAGGGAGTTTTGGGACATAGGATAACGAAGTCCAACCCTCCAAAGATTAAAAGATAAGCTAAAACTTTTGAAGATTTTTCATTCTTGGCTTGTTTGCTTCTTTGTGGAGGATCCAAATTCCAATTTCTTAGAATGAGCATGGCGCAGCATCAGCAGTTATCTTTAATATGATTGCTTTTTTACAATTTTACTGAGAGCTGAGTGACTAATAATCTAATAATAACTAACTACCTTCCATTTATAGGCATATATAATATCTCATTACTAGAAAGGAGAGCCATTGCATGAAATATAATGTTTTAAAACTTGGCTGGCCTTTGAATCGGAAAAGGTAATGGGTCAAGGGTCGGAGGTTCTATGATATCACAGATATCCATAAAAACAAAGCATGATATATGTTGAGACTGAATCACTTCTTAACAAAGATTTTGTTCTTCTTTCTAAGAAAAAGGAAATCCAGAAACCCAGCCTATTTCACCATTTTTTGTATTTATGATTTTTAGCATATGACTGGACCACTTTCTGTTTTCTACAGTCAAACCGTTTGGTCCTGTCCTTTTTTTTTTTTTTTTTTTTTTTTGTTCGAATTGGTAATATGTTGAGTGAAAATGCTGTTTAGTTGCATCTTCAGTATATTGTAATTTTCGAAGGACATTGCTTCTAAGTTTGGCAGTTATCTGTGCCACTTCAGCTCCTGACACACCTCAAATTTTTTAAAAGTTTTGTTCATTTGCTTCTGATGGTTCACTTGCTCTCATTATGAAGTTTGTTTGCATGCGTACATGCATGTAGGTATGTTACTCCATTTGGTGCTTAGTCACTTTTCTCACGTGGTACTGCGATTGCTATGTGTTTCACCTATTTACTGTTGTGTGCTTTGGCCATTTATTTTATTTCCCAGCCTTAAATTTCTATCTGTCCCTCTTTCTAGGAGGCTATGGACGATATGGAGAATTCTACTAGTGTAGCTGGTTCAGCATCTGGATCTCTTAACTTGCACAATCTTAATGGTTCACGTTCTGACATGTCATGCGAGGAAGATGACAATGATGGTGAAGATGCAACTGATGATGACTGCGATATTTATGGGGATGATGGTGACAACTATATGTATGGTGACGATGATGTTTATTCGAGCTTGCAGGAACAATTTGATAATGTGGATTTGCCTACTGGGGTGGAGGCGTCAGTTTCTTGGTTAAGTGATCCTACTCCAGGTTCAAATATTTCGACTCATGAGAGTGTTCTGGTTGAAGGTGGCATGGTGAGTCACTCTGCAAGTGCAGCAGCACATGCTCTTTCGATTCCGGCTTGTTGCAAAACTGAGGCCATTGCTTCAAGCAGTTCATCAGCTTTTGCAGAATCGAGCTGTAATGAGAAGGGGAAAGAGGAAAGCAAAGTTGAAATTATGAAGAAGTATCTAGATTTCAAACGATTTGACGTTGTTGATGATTGTTCTGATCATCACTATAACAGAACAGGCTTTGAAGGACAACAGGTAGCTTCACATTATAAAAAGCACGTCACCTGTACACATACTTGTATATGCTAATTCTGTAGCATTTCTTATCTTGGCAGCCCCCCAAGGAATGGAGCAAGAAAATTCAGGATGAGTGGAAAATTCTAGAGAAGAACTTACCTGGTAAGTGAGCAAGAATTCAACGTTTTAGCTGCATATTACCTTTCTTATCATGTCCTTTTCCTATTATTATCTGTTCACAATCTTTGTTGGGAAATTAATTGATTTAATGTTCAAGCCTATTTGATGTAGATATTTTGAGAATAGATTTTATGAAAAGTGATTTTTTTGGAGAACTCATGATTAAAAAGTAGGGAAAAGTTATGGGTCCACGTGCATAATTATTTTATTGAAAAAAATTGAGTGGAGAGGAAAATAAGTTTCATAGAATATGTAAACAGAGGTCTAACTGAAAGAAGATTCGAGAGCATCCTATTGTTAGGGTCTAATAGTTGTGGGATTCAATCACCCTCAAGCTTGGGCTTTTGGGAGAGATGGTTGGATCCCCATCAATTGATATCAGAGTAGATCCACGTTATAGGTTCAAATTCCAGAAGGGGCGACCACCCAAGCGAAGTGTCGAATACTAGCAACCAAAGAAGGGCTAGTTAGATAAAGTGAATGTCGTCTTGGAGTGGGCCGCCGTGGATGTTGGATTTGTGGCCGTGGGGTATTGTTAGGGTCTAATAATTGTGGGATTTAATCACCTTCAAGCCTGGGCTTTTGGAAGAGATGGTTGGGTTCCCATCACCAACAGTAGCAGGGGATGCTAAATTATTGTTGTTTAACCTGTAAAATATGCAATATCGTATTTTCCTATGAATTTGTTTTTGTTATATGATGTATTTTTTTGTAAAATGAATAAAGTATAAGGAAAAATGGCAAATAGCAGCATAGTATTAAGTGTTTTGACAGTATATAACTAAATTTAGTGGATGATGTTCAGTGATCAAAAAGCTTTTCATCTTAAAAAATCTGTACTTATTCTGATCTTCACTCAATATTTTTGTTTAACTAACCCTGAAGCTTCTCGAAAGATTTTATAGAAGAATATTTGTTTATGTCAAAAACGATTCAGCTCTGTAATCTTGGATATTTATAACGAGTTTTTTGCAGTTTTCATCTGTACTTTCTATTGTACTTCATTTATGATGAACCATATTATTTGTGCATTTTTCTATCTCAGGAGAAGGAGAGATTATTTTGTAATGTAATATGAGATATTTGAGTAGTAGAATAGTTAGTTAGATAATAGAAAGACAGCTTGCTAAATAGTCATAGTGGAAGTGTTGCATAATTTAACTAATAATTAGATATTGAAAAGCAGACTTTTATGATTGTCATAGTGCAAGTGTGGTGCACTTCATCTGAAATCTCGATTGAATCTAATTTTGTAGCTCTCTCTTTAGCCCTATGTCTCTTATCCTTAGGAGGTCTTTCTCCACTAGTATGAATAAAATTTTTAGTTGATGATAACATTAGTCAGAGACTTTTTCATGGAACAAACACGTGGCAAATCGTGACCATATTTTTGCAGCATTTTTACAATTGAAGAGGAAGGCCAATAGAAATTAACAAGCCAGGCTACTTATTCTTTGTAGGATCTGCTGAAATAGATCTGGAACCTATTAGGCAAGGCATGTAGTCATAAGAAAATTACTGGCTGATATTATCTGATCTTGACTAACTTTCGCACTGTTTTCTCTTTTTAGTTCGACAAATCATAATATTCATCTGTGTTTATATAGATTATTTATTTCATCTTGTCCGATACTTGTATAGAAGATGCATCCTTAGTTTGAAATGTTACTGAAATGACAGATCCATGTTGTTCTCTTTATCAATTATCTCTTTTGCATCTTTGAGGATTACACTGAACTACATATAACCCCCGCTTCCTCTGCCTCCACAGAAATGATATATGTAAGAGTTTATGAATCAAGGATGGATCTTTTGAGGGCTGTTATTGTAGGACCACAAGGCACTCCTTACCATGATGGTCTATTTGTCTTCGATGTTCTCTTCCCTCCTAGCTATCCAGACATACCACCAGTATGTATTTTGAGAGGACAGCTTTGTCTTAAATGCTACTTTTTGTTTCGTTTGGTATTTGAAACACATTTATCGCCCACTGATTTTTGAATGATCCTTGATAGATGGTTTACTACTATTCTGGTGGCTTGCGATTAAACCCAAACTTGTACGAATGTGGGAAAGTCTGTCTCAGCCTTCTTAACACTTGGACTGGTAAAGGAAATGAGAATTGGGTGCCAAATTCATCAACAATGCTGCAGGTCTTGGTGTCTATTCAAGCAATTATTTTGAATGCAAAGCCCTTTTTCAACGAGCCTGGGTTTGAATCGACATATCTTGGGGCAGAGGGAGAGAAGAAGTCCAGGTCATACAATGAAGATGTATTTGTCTCATCCTTGAAAACGATGGTATACACTCTTAGAAGGCCTCCAAAGGTATGATTCAGACTCCTTGTCAACAACATTCTCGTTTTTGTTCAGGATGGCTACTTTTGAATGAGGTGATGTTCATTTTGTTTCATATAATGGCCGATTAATTTTAGAAACTTAGAGCAAATTTTATAGGACAGCATAGAGAATAAGCTGCCTTAGTTAAACTTTTGGCTTCATTTCTCTTATGAAATAGTTTTCCTCCGTGGAGCCATGCATTTCAGTTCTCCTACCTTGAAGTTTACAAATACCCTTCTTTTTGAAATTCACCTCTAATAGCTTAAGCTTTTAGATTAGGTGATTTTTGGGTTTGTGTCCAAGTCTTGTCCCCACCCAGTTGTAAAGAATTGTTTCAAAGCAGGCTAAAGATCTGGATTTGAGTTTCATCACCACCCATTAATGGAAAATTTGTACATGTCAAATCTTAGATAAACATGAGTTCAGCTTGCATGCGAGGGAGTGCGTTGAAGACAAATTTTAAATGAATAAAAACGTCACCCTTTCTAAGTGTTTAAACATTTAGACGTGGTAGTTCAACATTGGGAATTAGTAGATATGTTTGATGCTGAATCAAAAGATGTATATTTGGAGTTGTGTCTCTTTGTCTCACCTCTTGGGCATGGTTTATGCTTTGCTTGGCCACAAGTGCTGGCTTATGGTACATATCCATTCTTCTCCTACATGTTTTTCTCCAGGTTCTGTCTGTTGAATCTAATAGTCTCCTGTTAATCCCCCTTCTAAGATGTTAGCAAAACCTCAGAATGTCTATTTGATCATAAAATGCATTTGTTTGGGTTTCATTTTTTCACCTTAAATTTTACTTTTCAAAGTCGAGCATTAATTTTAATTGCATATGTTGGAGGATCCACAAGTACTATATCCACTTGTCCACCGCTCATTTCATAAAAAGTAAGATTTTAGCCAAATTTGATGAAATCCAAACAATGGCTGTATTTCCTGAATATTAGAAGAGTATTTCAGAAGTCAAAGTAAGGATTGACTACATGAATCCTTCCGTTTGGATCATTGCCAGAATTATTGGGATCCCTATATCCTTTGCAACTAAAACAAGCTGTATCAGTTTTGGTCCCTTCCTCCCTCTTAAACTTGTTAATTTGCAAATTTGAACCTTGATTGAATGCTATGCTGTTATGCATATTTGCACACCTTATGTTTTCCCTTCTATAATAAGATTTTATTTTTGACGTCTTAATTTTCGAACGTTCATATGGTTGCAGCACTTCGATGATTTAGTGACAGGTCATTTCCATTCTCATGCACATGATATTCTTTCGGCATGTAGAGCATACATGGGGGGTGCAGTAGTTGGTTCCGTGGTCAAGGGAAAGATCCAGGATGGTAGCAAAAAGGGCACCTCGTCAGAGTTTGCGGCTTCTATAAGGGGAATGATAAATGGTCTTGTTTCAAGCTTCACAAAGATTGGTGCTGAAGACTGTGAGCAGTTCCGCTGTTCTTGATAATAGTTTCTCCAGTGGGTCTTAAAATAATGCGTACGGGGGAGGAGGATGGTAATTTGACTTGTCAATGCTTTTATCTATGTCGATTTGACGGCTTTTTATTAGCAGTTTGGAAGAAAAATGTGACTCTCTTTGGGATCCAAAAGTGAAAATGTTTGGATGGTATAGGCTCGAGGACAAGTCTCCCTACTGGATATGGTACCCTGCCTTGCATTTCTGACTAAATCCTACGTACTTTTCATATGATTGGAGCAATGAATAACAGCATTCTTGTCTTGTTTGATTGATACTTTAATCACACGGACATAGTGAAATGTGTTAATAACATGCATGGTTTGGTTGAATTGTTTCGTCTCTTAACATGTTTTTTCAAATGCTTGTCTTCGTTAATATAATATACCAATACATCATAACAGGCGTAGACGGCGGTGAAAATTCAGTCGTTAAGTACTCATTACCGAAGAGATTTGATATTTTATTATTTAAATAAATAAATATGATACTACGAAATAAATCACTAAAATCTTGGGGTAGGCCTTTAGCAAGCAAGAGAAATGAACTTTGGGGTTCGATGGAAATCTCTCTTTTCCTTAGTCGTCCTCAATTTACAGTGCCATATTCTACATCTATCATTTCATTTCAGACTTGCATTTCTGCCTCTGGAAATGAATGAAAGCAACCCTTTTAAGGACATATATCTTGCTCAAGTCACCTCAAGCGACATGGTATCAGAGATTGCCCAAGTTCTTTTTTGCTTATACAATTTCTTCCTTTTCTGCTCCATCAGTTCGATGGATTTGCTTATGAGGCCGATTACAGCTGTGTAAATGCAGTTAGAGTAATGCTATTATATAAAATCTAGACGATCATCAATCTATATCAAGTAGGGTCATTGGAACAGTTCAATAAAGTTCAAATATATTTTTTTGCGTTTTTATGCATTGAATAATGTGACAACAATCTCACTGTCGTATAGATGGATGATCATCTAGAATCTAGGTGAATATCATTATTCTTGTAGTTAAGTTATATATGAAATGATTCTAGAGATCGAGAGAGATGAAGCTGTACCACATTTTCTAACTTTCGAATTGAAACCCCCGATGAAATTCCAAAACCTAAACAACTCAGTTGGGAGTACTATGACTGGAAGAAGGCAACGTCCGGTTCACTTTGTGGAGGAGTTCTTTTTATCAAAAGACATAATATTGATTTAAGATTTATAGCACATAATCATTTCTAAATGCCAGTGTCCAATTATAAATTTTTTACTCAATCTTGAATACATATGCCTGTAAAAGTGTTGCAAACACAAGACTGAATCCCTTTACATTTTCCATCCACAAAATGCACATAGAAACCACCACTACCATTGGATTTGGGACACAATACCACCCAAAAAAGTTGTATCCCAGCAATAGAATAGGGGTTCGACTAGAAGGGAACCCGTAGGGGGTCCTCTTCAACAATTCAGGCAAAAAAATAAATAAATAAAAAAAGAAAAAGCTGGTAGAAAATATATGTAATATTCCAGAAAACGAAGTGGGTCCAATTTTTTGCCTTCGGTGACGCAAAAGCAGGATCGATGGAAATCTCTGAAATTGCTAAATCATCTCCTGAATACTTGTTTCGTCCTTCTCTTGTTGGAGGTACCTATTATAATTTCAAAACAAATGCATCAATTAGAGCCAACAGTGACAAATTAATTCAGTTGCCAACTTCAAATATATTAGATGCCATATTGGTGCACCTTGTACATAATTATTCGATTACAAGTTCGTGTCAAATGAAAAAAACATAAGCAAACGAGTAATTCTTAACCCCCCTCCCCCCCACCCCCACAAAATTAGTGGGTCTATGTTAGAAAAAGGATGACATGAAGAAAATAGTTCCAATATGTCCTTGAATTCAGCCGTGTCCAAGAACATGAGGTGATTAATATTTGCTTAGGCTAAGAATGGCTGTGAAGACCTTAACGAATTCCCCAGGAAGTCATAAACAGTAAAAATAAAGCAAAAATGAAGAGCTTTCAAGAAATTACCTGCAAGGATAAGAAATATATCGACTTTATGGGGAGGAGCACTCTGTTTTCCCCAGCTCAGCGCTCAACATATGGTGGAGAAGCATCTGAACTCTCTGACTCCTTGTCTTCGTGCTGAAAAAATTGGGGGAAAACAGGAAAATGTTGATCCAGATTAAGTATCATTCTAAATTTATAAAGGGATATTTCTGAGAAGTGTCAAGTCAATTGCACATACCCCACATTACGTCGTCGATGCCCCTGATGAATTTCATCCTGGATTGCGAAGGAATACAGGTTGACTTAGTGGTTCTTACATATCAATTCAAAATCAAAAGTACGAACATGAATGGCTATAAGGTAAATCATATATACAAATCCATGAATTATGGCCGAATAACAAACCCACACATAAATATAAGCACCTTTTAAGCTTAGCTTAGCAAAATATTAAAATAATCTGGAAATCATTTGGATTTCCAAGATACTTCCTTCAAATGTAGAAGACGCAATCTATAATGCACTCGAAGACATTAAATAAATAACTTTTATTTCTCTCTCACAACTTAAGCTTAAAAATTAAGTGGTCAATTACCACTGTATCAAAGCTACACTTGAAAATTTGGATATGTCATGTTTATATAACTTTCATCAATTTATACACTATTCCCTTGTTTGTGCTCGTGACTGCATCTTTTTTGCTGTTTCTTGATTGAGCCAAAGTGCCCTTTAATTGATTCACCTCTTCACATACAAATGGGAGTTGCATGGCAAGAAGTATTGCCCAGCTTGTCCACATTGAAAAAACTATAAGCTCCCAAATGAGCACGAGTCTGGTGATCTTTCCACTAATTACTATTGGATTTTATTTATAACTCCACAAGCTTAATTATGAGTGTTTTATTATGGTATAAGATCTTGGTTTTCATGAACCACATGAGACTTAAATACAATTCTTAGGTAGTTATAACTTAATGGGCTCTACTCTTAACTAACACTACATGATCTCTTCACATGGCTAACCTATCACTTGTCTCTTTGCCCACAGTCGAAACTCACAAATTCTTCACTAACCTTGCCAGTTGCATCTTCACATTTCTCAGAAGTTTCAAGATCCATTTCAGCGAAGAAAGCCTCCAATACGAATGCCACAACCTGAAATGATATTTTCCAAAAGATTATGAAGTTATTTTTTACAATATTGACAGAATGGGATTCAGTAAAACAAGATGGATAGAATGAATTTCAATAACTCCTGACAAGGTCTGACAAACAAAGCACTTCAAAATAACAAATGGTGACGAATTTGAAACTCGTATCTCAATTTAAGTCTCTTGATTTCAACTTTACTAATTGTTTTGGTAATCTAACAAGGAAATCTTAACTAACTTACAATAACCATTGAATCACAGAAAAAGAAAATCTCCTCTGCCTGTTCCTACTTTTCTATAAGGGAAAAAATTTGAAGGGAAGGGTCCCTTCCAAAAGAAATAATAAAATCCTTTCCCCTTCTAAATACTTGCATTATTAGATATATTATCATGCCGCAATGTCTAAAATTCATAATTCTAAATTAAAGATAATATATCGTTATACGTTTAACTCAACTAACTCCATAAACAAATTAGCTTAAGCCAGTGTACATAACTAAATAACGAAATACATGTGGATATCCATTAAACAAAATCTAGAACTCCCATACTAGTCCTGTAATTTGTTTAATCCATATTACAATGAGGCAAATGATGCTTGTTATCATTTCTAGTCTTTTTCTTCTTTTCTATTTCCACCCTGCCGTGTAATCACATTAGATAAATTCCACATCATTATAAGAGAGAGCGATTTCAATGAAATTGATGTGTAAAAGTATATACGGTCTGTTTAAGCATATAAAATGTTTTCCAAAATTTCGACTTTTCATATGCAATGTGAAAAGTTTTCCCCAAATTTCTTGAGTTATTTAGCAATACCGAACATAAATACAGGTTCTATCAAATTTGTTATTATTATAAGCAGCACAGCAACACAGACATGTCACTACTTAGTATTTCAATTGACAGAAGCCATAGGACAGGACCCTAGCAATTAGCTACAGCTTACCAAATTCAGTAGTAGTAAGATTGTAATAAGATAGAAGCTGACGAAGTATGCATAAGACCATGCAGTTCCAGTCAAATCCTTGTAGCCCTGAAATTTCAGCCACCAGAAATTACAATCACATAATGGAAAATGACAGAATATGACATTGTTGCCACTATACTACGTATCGCAGCTGTCCATTAACAATTTAACAGGAACTTCATTTATAATGTTCGGGTGCAATGCCAAGTAAAAAAGAGGATATGGACTCTCATAAATTTCGGCATATACCTATGCATATAAATAAAATCTATTCCAAAATAAACTTAGGCTCCTTAAAAATATCATTCAATTCAAAAGAGCTGATCTCCACCCTCACATCCTTTCCATGCGAGCGCGCACACATTCAAAAATGAAAAAGAAAAGAGAGAGAAAGAAAGAAGAAAAGGATAAAAAAATTCTCTTCTAATATGGCAGTACATTTATGTCCATTCATAAATTATATTATAGGTTGATACATGTTCAGCATCGAACATAGATAAGGAATTTTACATTCCTTATTATTATTATTATTTTTTTTCCGAACATCCTTTTTCCCTTTCTTGTTTTTCCTCTATATTGGCTAACATATTCCTGTAAGACTGCTTATTTGAGGAGTAAATTGCTCAGATTCAGGAGATCGTTGGTTAGGTAACATGATGGACAATATCTAAGGTGAAGAATGAAAGGAACTCTTTGGAATAAATACATATATTCTTTGTCATATCTTGATCTCATAATTGTCTTCTAAGCATCTCACACTGTAAAGCCTGTCTATGATCTAACCAATGTTGACCTCATATTTTTTTAATTATATTGCTCAAGTAATAATATTTCAACCTATAATAAATTGGCCAATTCTGGGATTCAAGCTCACTAATGTCACTGCTAGATAACAGCCCAACCCTCGCTGAAGAACGCACTACATTATTTGTTGTTCATAGCAAATATTATAAACCCATAGTAATCGCAGTATGAAATCGAAAACTCAAATGAAAAA